TAAACTATTTAGTGAAAAATTCTGAAATTTGGTGGGTAATTTTATTATATAAAAGCAAATCATTTCCCAAAATATCAAAAGATTCTGAATGTTTTGAATTTCTATACCATTCCTCCTTAAAATAATTGCGACAAAATACCACAATTTTTAGTAAAAAAAAAGTACAAGTTATTTTGATTTTTATAATGTGAAAAATAACTATAAACAAATCTTTGGGGCCGTACACATAATACGTCACGCGGCTAGGGGGAGGGAGTCTGAGAATTGTGACTAAGTGTGACATGGGGGAGGGGGGGGGTGAACTCATGTGTTACGTCACGATCTTTTAAATTCAAAGATAATAAGAAATTATATGTGACAATGTCACTTTTTCTAAATAAAACAAGTTAAAAATGGTTTGAACTATTTAATATCTATTATGTATCTGTTTAAGGGGTAACATCACCCAGAGCCTATACAAAATATGGTCTATTTCAATTAATTATTTTAAGAAAACGGTCAAGTACAATGTTGCTGGGTTTTCTCCAACGTTAAACACATGGGTTAAACTTAATTTAAAAATAAAACAAAAAAAAATTTTTCAAAATGGCGCCTTTACACATCCAACAGTGAAAAAATTGTAAAAAAAACTGGCCGGAAGGATTTCTCCAACATTTTTTGACGGATTCAATTAAAATTTAGACTGTAGCTTTAAAACAACATTCTTTATCGAAGTACATAGGATTTTTTAGATCGGTTAATGCGTTTCCGTTTTATAACCATTTTTACCTTGATTTTTTAACAAAAAATAACATTTTTGTCATCGAAGTCATACCATTTTGCGAAAAATTGATATTTTTAAAATATCCTATGTACTTTTCTAGTAAATGTCATCCTCTTTCATAATTCGTTTGAATTTTTTGCCTAGGTGCTTATGGAACGTAGAAAAGCTTCCGGCTGCAGAGGTTGTTTTAAAAAACGTGATCTACGTTGAACTGTTGTGAAGGCGCCATTTTGAAAACAAAAAATTTTTTTTATTTTTAAATTAAGTTTAATTCATGTGTTTAACGTTGCAGAAAACCTAGCAACATTGTACTGAACCGTTTTCTTAAAATAATTAATTGAAATAGACCGTATTTTGTATAGGCTCTGGGTGATGTTACCCCTTAACATCTATTGGCATATTATTTTTAATATGATAAATAATATCCCGTGTAGAAATATCCCTATTATGGCCATATTAGGGAATGAAACACACGGCCCGACCTGGGCCAGATCGGGGCGACGATCAAATGTGGATTTCCTGATCAGGGCCATATCAGGCCGTGTGTTTCATTCCCTAATATGGAAGGCCCGATGAGTCCCTGATCCGGACCATAGCGAAATTTCTACACGGGATATTCTCTTAATTTGAATCAGTTAAAAATCATGGTTTTAACTGTCAATCAGCAGTGACTGACTTTTTGCTTCTGAATCAGTTAAAAATAACTGAAAAATTATCCACAAAACACCGAAATTTTTCTAAATATTGTATATTAAAGATTTGCTTGCATAAGTTAAAAAATTTACTTGCAAAGTTTATTTTAAAATTGTGTAAAGATTTAAATTTCTCACTCCAATAAATGTCTATCGTCAAATTTTCTTAAAAATATAGCTTGAAACTTTCCTGAACATTTGAATTGCATTTTCGACTATACTTTCGTGAAAATCTTCCTGAAAATATAACTTAAATTTTCGGAAAAGTTTCCCGCTAAACATTTATTGAAGTGGGATATTTAAATCTTTACACAATTTTAACTAAACTTTGCATTTAAATATTTCGAAGCTTGCGAGTAAATCTTTAGTAAATTTTTAGGAAAGTTTCGGTGCTATGTAGGTAGTTAAACGTGACTAATTGAATCAATCAAAAACAATTGTATTGAAACATCAGTTATTTTCAACTAATTGTCAGAAAAAAATATTACTATTTGAATTAGTGACTGTTGAAGCCAGAATTTAATAAAGTGGAATAATAATGTTATTATTATATTTGTATTTATTTATAGAGACTTTTTATACAAAGATAGAACTTGGGTGAACAAAGAACGAGTACGTTAACGAGCAAAGACGAACAGTGTAGTAGGAAGCCGGAAACCGGAAATATAGACCTTCACACATTAGTACCAAAAAATAGATATAGGGGTCTCTTTATAATTCAAAAATTAAGCTTGCACATAATAAAAACAATCAAAGAACAACAGTGACTGATTTTTTGCTTCTAAATCCGATATTCTTAACTGATTCAATAATTTAGAGTGTAAGATATAATATACATATATATTGTCCAATGTATAAAATTTACAGTGAAATTTACGTGTGTGACGTGACGTAGGGGGGAGGAGGGGGTTCAAGATTTGTGACGAAGTGTGACATAGGGGGAGGGAGGGGTTAAAAGTGGTCAAAAATCGCGTGACGTATTATGTGTACGGCCCCTTTTTGAATAGTTGAAATTTTGTAAAATTTAATTGAAAATAATTAATTTATTTCAAGTCTTTTGTTACAATTTTTGTAGAATAAAAAATCTTTAAAGGTAAATTTAAAAATGAAAATTAACGAAAATTAGCTTCTAATTTTTTAAAATTTAATATTCTCAATTACATATTTTCAAAAATTCAAATATATACAAAAAAATAACATTTTAAAATTATTTTTAACATTTTAGAGGAAACAATCATGTTAAAAATTTTTAATTAAAATTTATCAATCAAATTCAAAAATAATTTTAAAATATAACAGAATTTTAGAAGAACTTTCGGAAAATTATTTAAATTAATTGATTCAGAGGCGAAGGTTTAGTTGCCCAGTAAAAAAAGTATTGGAAGAGAGCGAATAGTATTGGCGGTGAGTTTCTGCCAATACGTTTTCGCGTGAAAACCGTATTGGCAGAAACTCACCGACAATACTATTCGCTCTCTTTCAATACTTTTTTTTACTGGGTGGAAATTGTAGAAAATAATTGAATTCAGGAACGGTTATAATTGTCATTTTAAAAAATAATTAAAATCATAAATTTTACTCATTTTCTGTAAACATTCATATTTTCCTGTAAAAAGAATTTTGTCAGGGAAATTAATTTTAATATCAGTAAATTGTCAGGGAAATTGATTAACTGAAACTTACACGGAGAAAAATGGATAGTCAAATTTATAATCTAGATAATCATGGGTGATGATCTTGGATACTCAACTATAGGACAACCATCTAGATATTCAAATTTAGTATCTTGGGATAATCAAACTTACATACTAACTGCCATTATCCAAGATGTTCACATTTGACTATCCTAGATAATAAACGCAAGTTGCTGTGTTTATACCTACACATCTAAATTGATCAATAAGAAATATTTAATGATAAAAGTTAATTTTTTTAGAAATTAGTGAACATTTTTCCTAGATAAACAATTGTTTATGGAAAATCTGAAAATTTTAAAGAACAAAATACATTAATTTAACGATACCCTTGAAATTTTTAAATTCTTTTGACAGGTTTAAAGGTTATGTTGCTAATTGTAAGTTTTATATATTTTTTAACAATATTTTTTAAGCAATATTATATCTGAAATTCAGTATAAAAAACTTGACAATGCTTTTAAATTTCGAATAATATAAAACTCTTTAACGGTGTTCGATGGTCTCTTAAATTTCTCGATAATGTGCGACCAACAGTTATCACCCAACAAATACGACACTGACCGGTTTAAATGACGTGTAATTGGTAAACATTCATTTTCTAACAAATTTCCCTCTGTTCACAGGCACTTTTTACAAAATCTGGCAACGTGCATTTGTCACAAATGTTTTTAATTGTCTGAATTGAAAAGATTTTGTCCATCCATGTATAAACGCGGTTGCAGTATTGGAATTACCATAGCAATGTAATACGAATCATTTTGACAGCTGAACCTTTACGCTCCCTGCATGCTTCTGCCCTCTACTGTCAAAATGGCTGTAACATACGTCTTGTGGCCTGCCATTACATTACTTTTTTATTTCCAATCATCCTGCAACCGCGTTTCTGCATGGATTAACAAAATCTTTTGAATTCAGACAATTAAAAACATTTGTGACAAATGTACGTTGTCAGATTCTGTAAAAAGTGCCTGTGAACAGAGAAAAATTTGTTAGAAAATGAATGTTTACGAATTTCACGTCATTTGAAACAGGCAGTGCCGTTTTTCTTGCGTGTGAATAGAATAGAATATAATTAACGTTGGCCCATACTGGCGTTGCGCCTGTATATTTGGCCATGACCTGGTGTGTTTCTTGCGTGTGATCGGTAATCAAACTTCTGCGCAAGCGCTCGGCAAGTTGACTCAGGATAATAAATTTGATTATCTAGATATACTAAACGGGAATAAATAATATTTCAGGAAGATAATATTTCTGACTATATAAATAATAAATTTGATTATATATTTTCTAACTATCTACTTTTAACTTATTCATTTTTCTCCGTGTATGATCATCCTGATTAAGCTTAAGATATCTTTTTTGGAAATATCTTTGATTATAATGTCCAAGTTGACATTTGCTTTAACACCCCCCTCCCCTTCGTGGACAAACGTGGACTTTTGATTCACCCCCCCCCCCCAAATGTGTCCACGTGGTTTATGGACGGCCCCTATTCATATTTGCATCTAAGCGGATTTATTGTCTAAAAAAATCATTTATGCAAAATTTAACATTTAGCCCCAGTCTCCCCTATATTAAAAAATTTAACTAATTTCAAAGAAATTTTATTAAAATTTTTCAAAAAACTAAGTTCTTTAAAATTTCTAATTCCCTCCATTAAAAATTAAAATTTTCTAAAATTTCAAAGAGTTGGTATGAATTCTAAAAATGAAATTGTTTCCCCTGACTTCTCTGACCTGTGGCAAGCCTGAAAAATATATACATAATCGATTTTATTATATTGAATGAAACATTTTTGTTTTTGAAAAATTGAATATGAAAATGTAAAATGTGACTGTAATTTCGCAGGAGTATCAGACGTGTGCTCTCGACTTGACGCCCACCTACGCTGTGGTATCATCTTGCATATCATTCTATTTTCCTTGCGTAGTGATGATCGGTATATATTGCAGACTTTACTGCTACGCTCAAAAACACGTAAAAAGTATTAGAGCGGTGACGAAGTTACCTGACACCTCATTGACGAAGAGCTTCCGTTCGAAGAGTGCTCGCAACAAGTCGCCAAAGCCTCAGACGAAAACGAAGCCAACGACTCCTTATCATGTATCCGATCACAAGGCAGCTATCACTGTCGGTGTTATCATGGGCGTATTTCTCATATGCTGGGTGCCCTTTTTTTGCGTCAATATTGTCGCCGCATTCTGCAAGACTTGCATACCAGATCGAGCTTTTCAGGTACTTTCTTCTTTATTTTCAACAACTATTTTCAAAAAGTATAAATCATTCATTAATTTCAAAACATATTTTAAAAAACGTTTTTTTCCAAATTCCAGGTCCTGACGTGGCTCGGCTACAGCAATTCGGCCTTCAATCCGATCATCTACAGCATTTTCAACACCGAATTTCGCGAAGCATTCAAACGAATTCTCACGAGAGGTGCAAGAGGACGAGGGAATCAACCATCAACAAGCGAATGCGGTGAATTTCGTTCTGTCGTCGTACAAAAGCGCAATGGATCCTACGTCGAATGTAATATTAGCCCGAGATCGAGTGCCGAAAGCTGTCAAGTTGGATCTATTGCTCAAAAACATCGTGACACTATTGTTAGTTCAATTTAATTACCAAATAATTAATTTACACCAACAAAAATTAAACAAATCGACATCATAATCTAGACAATCAAACGAAATTAATTCGAGACATATCCAAAAAAAATATCGATGACAAAAATAGGAAAAATTTCTTTTTTCTCGAAACAAAAAAGAAAATAAAAATGTTTTCAATATCTCTAAGCAGAGCATAAAAAATTCAGGATTTTGCTCAAATTCTATAAAGAAAACGAAAAATAACGTACTTTATCAAAATTTGTCTATAATTTTTCCTTTTTTTTACAAATCCTGAGATAATTTTTTGACTCTCTGCCTAAAAAGTCTGTCCAACGGAAATACAGGGTGAAGCAAGCAAAACAGGCGTATTTTGCTGTTGCTACGAAACAAAATCTCTTTTTTTAAAAATACACAAAAGAATTTAATTAAAAAAATAAGAATTCTACAATACATTATTAATATAGAAAAAAAAATGCGCTCCTTAATGTTCTTCCTACATTTTCTATAGAAAAAAATCTCCACTTCCTTGCAATAAAAAAAATTATAATTAACAAGCAAAATCATAAACAAGAAAAATAAAAAAATAATAATAGTAATAATAATAATAAATAGATAATAAATATAATAATACAGAGGGAAAAAATTCTGGTCATGTTCGCTTGCATCTCCCTGTACATAGAAAAAGCCGAATTTTTCATAATCGCCTCTGTAAAAATTACCCAGGCCTTAATTTTATTAATTTAAGATCAGAGTTTTAATCGATGTTTTAATAAATTGAAAAAATAATTATGGTACAACGCAAATGCCGAAACATTTTTTTAAAATCCAAAAAAAAAAGATTTATTTTTGGGACTGTTTGAAATCGATGGCAAAAAAATATCAATTTTCGAATAGACTTCACACTGAAATTAATAAATTTACTCGATTCGAACATAATTAATGTTATTACTTGACAATTATCAAAATCTAAATAAAAAATTATTTAATAGGATTAGATTAAAATAAAAATTATTTCATTTTAAAAAGTATTTAATTGATATGTCAAGTAATTAATTTGAATCAAATAAATTTTTTTCAGTGCAGTTTCCTTGAACTTTCAATTCAAATTTTAACATAATAATTTCACATTTTATATTAATCTTTTTTAACATTAATAACAGGGTTGCCACAGGACAAAGAAATCAGGGAATTCAGGGAAAAGTCAGGGAAGGTAAAATTGGTCAGGGAAATCTGAGAAAAGTCAGAGAATTTTATCAAAAGTACAAAAAAAAACTTTAATTTTACATTTCAGAAGAAAATTCTGAATTTTGGTGTCCAGAAACCTTTGGAAATATTGACCCTTTCGCGCCTCCGGCACATATGTATATATGTACCACTTACAAAATTTAATAAAACTCTTATAATTATAAAAAAATTAAATAGTACTATTAGAATTATTATAAACAATAAGTAGAATATTGTTAAAAAAATAACAAAATTTAATTTTTCAAAATTTGCTCAAATTTGCTTACAACTTCTTACTTAGGGGTTGAATTTTAAAAGTTTTCACTTTAAATTTTAGAATATTTGAATTTTGAATGAATTTAATTAGAAATTTTGTTGAACTTATTTTTTATAAAAATTTTAATTCAAATTCTTTGAAGATTAGTTGCATTTTTAATTTAATTATTACAAATAATTTATTTGGAGAAAAATTTATTCTTAAAAACACTAAAAATAATTGAATTTTGGAGAAGTTACAAATAATACAATTTTTAGAAGTAATTGAATTTTGAAAAACTTTCAAATTAAAATCTTTGAAAATCTAAATTCTTAATATTTTTAATTAGCAATTCTGTGAAAATAATGTTTTTTAGGTGAACTTTTTCCACTCTTTGAATAATTGAATTCTCAAAGAACTTTGTCAAAAAATTTTAAAAATTATAAATTTAGAGAAGTAGGTATTTTAGTTAAAAATTTTAGAAAACCGAATTAAAATCGTGAAAATAATTTTGAAGAAATTAACAACATTCTGTTAAGTTGTTACATAAATTTAATAAAGTTTGGATTTGGAATTTTTTAAAATCTTAATTTCTATGGAAAAATATTAATTAAATATTTATTCTAAATAAAAATATTGATGTTTTGAAATAATTTTAAATTTTAAGAAATTCGCAAATAACAGTATTACCTAGAACATTTTTTTGAGTATCTAATCATTTTTAGAGTGAATCAGAATATTTTTCATGATCAGGGAAGGAGGCAAAATTATGTCTAGAAATTAGGGAAAAGCAAATTAAAATTTTTGTGGCAACCCTGTAATATTTGTTATTTACTATATTTATATGGTATATATTTATATTATTAATTTATTTTATCATAGAAATTGGATGTTTTCAATGGAAATTTTATTATTATTATTATTATTATTATTATTATTATTATTATTATTATTATTATTATTATTATTATTATTGCTCTTTTATTAATTTTTTTAAATTTATATTTTTTTTGTTTTAGAGAATATTCGAAAAGTCTATTATTTTTTAAACCGATTTCTTATCGACATCCCAAGTTCCATTTGCTGACTCGATATTAACTATTATATATAGCGATATAGAAAATCGCAGGCTGTGCACTGTGAAAAACAATTCATTTCCATCTTGTAAATAGTCATATAATTCTTGTCAATAATTAACGGGTAACGCTAATGAAAATAACGTCATAATTGGCAAAAATTAAAAAAAATATATATAAATCCCGTTGAATCTAAAATTCGATCTTTATAAATCACATATCTGATCAAGAGAGGAAATTGAAAAAACAAAATTTCCTTTTGAAAAAAAATTCTTCATTAGCTTTAAAAAAAACGTATACGACGCACCGACGGAAAAATAAATTATTATTGTAAAGATCATTTTTTTGATCTTCAAGATAAAAAATATATATGACGTTTCGTCGGCACGTTTCGTTGAAAAAAAAATATTTATGTACACTAAAACAAAACAAAAAAAAAGAAAAGAAAAAACAAACTATATCCGTATGATCGTTCTCTGTAAATATATATGCATTTAAGACTTCCACAAAACAAAGAAAAAAAAAGAAAAAAGAAAAGTGTATTAAAAAAACTAGACACTTCCGTTACTTCTTTGCTATTCTTATTTTCTCAAAAAATTTACAATCCTTAATATAATGACGTTCATTTAATGATAATTCTTCCATGTAAATTGGAATTGTATCTTGCCAGGTACGATTTTCATGGGGAACTTGAAGAAAGTCGAGAAGATCACTCGTCATTTTTGGTATAACTGGATGAAGAACAAGAGCTGAGATACGTGCGCACTCCAAAGTTAATGAAATCACGGCTTTCAATTCATTGGCAACGGCAGGATCGGATGTATTTTTTCTCAATTTCCATGGTCTATGATAGTCAAACATTTGATTTGCACTGTGTAATGTCGTCATAACAGCATCAACTGCATGATGAATATCCAAAGATTCGTAATTCCTTTCCGCTGTCGATTTTAATGATTCTAAATTTTTCTTCAATTCCAATGCCTGCTCGGATTTTAAAACGTCGGCAAATAATTTTGGATTTGGAATTTCTTTTTGTGGATTAATAAGATCGCCAGTGCAACGACGCACCAAATTTCCAAGATTATCCGCCAAATCAGCGTTTAAAGTCTCGCTCACTGTGTTCGCGCTAAAGTCTACAAAAAGAACATTTTTAAAATCGAATTTTCAAATATGTAAATATATATATATATATATATATACAATAAATTTCAATATATATATATATTTATTTATTTATATATCAAAATTTATTTTCTAACTTTATATTTCATTCCTTAATTATTAAAAATGTCAATACTTATATGTATTACATATATTAAAATTTATTATTTTATTTTTGGTATTAATGTTTTCAGACCTCGGACCGAGTTTAAGGCGCAAAAAAAGTCCTTGTAGTTGATAAAAGATACAAATAAAGTCGAAAAAGTCGTTTATTTTATGCAGTGTTGTAACAGAAATTTCATTTTTTATTTCCTTGATTTCTCACACATTTCTAAATTTAATTATTTAAAATATCAATCATTTTGTTATATAAATATTTAAATACTTGTTATTTATTGTTGCACAGGAATTAACAATTTTTTAATTTCAATTTCAAACCTGAAAATTTCTAAAAATTACAAATACAATAAGTCATTCGTTATTTTATAGAATTTTTAACTAAACTTCTTTTCTAAATCAATTATTTTTAATAATTTTCCTAAAATTCTTTAAGAATTCAATTATTATTATTACTATTATAACATTTTTATCGAAAAAAATTCAATTATTTTCTAAAATTTTAATAAAATCCTACTCAAGAATTAAAATATTTCCGATTTAAAATTATAAAAAAATAACATTTTTTTAATAAAATTTTTTTGAAAATTAATGAAAAATTCTCTTATTACCGGAAAAAACCTAATCATAAAACTTATTCTCTAAATCTAGAAATTAATTTTCTCATTCTACATAGAAAATAACATTTAAATAAATAAAATCCAGTTTTTCTTTTAAAATAAATAACAGTAACTGTATAACCCATTTATTAATTATTTTTTATTATAATTCGATTTTCAGAACATTAAATTAGAATTTTATCAACTTTAAAATTCAAGCGATTTAAAAAGAAAAATTTTCAAAAAAATTAGAAAACAAGAAAGCAAACAAAAACAACAAACTTCAATATTTATTATTAATAAATTTTAATTAATAAAAGAAAAATGATCAAAAAATAAACATTGGATCAATTTTGTGATATGTAATTGAATTATTTTCAGAGTTTGCTATGGAAGCGTTCACAAATGATGTCACGTTTTTGAGGGTAGGGGGGGGGGTCTCTACCAAACGTGACACAATGTATTTTTTACATGTGAAATTGAATGAAATTGCGTGACAGGGGGGAGGGGGGTTGAAAATCTCAAAAAATTGTGTGAACGCTCCATATTAAAAAATTTCCAAAATTTAATATGCTATTAAAATTATTCAAAATTTAATTATTTTCAGAATTTCCTATTCAAAATATTCTAAATATAATTTCCAAGAATTTTAATGAAATGAAGAGTCAAGAATTTTCAATAAAATTTTACAAATAGCAAGTATTTAAAAACTATTTTTGCAACAGTAACCCCTAAAGAGAAATTTTACACATTGAAAATTGTGCGTAAAGTGACACTTTTTTAACAGTGTGTAAAATATTTACTTTTCAATATGTAAAGTAGATTGCAATGTGTAAATAACTATAATATTAATTAAATATTTTTAAAATTTAATTATCTTATAAAAATTGTTAAAAAACGAAGATTATGATATGTAATAAAATAATATTTGAAATATTTGACTATAGTTGTTATTCACTCTAAAAAGAACTTGAAATAAGTTACATTTTATACCAAAAATGTGATATCTTGTTGCAATATTTGAAAGAAAAGTAGAAAAAGTCTCATTAATTTTGAAACTGAGTCGAAGAAAGTTGTTTTTTTCAAATAGTCGAAAATAGTACAAAAATCATACTATCCAAGGTCTGCCTTTTTCTTCTTTTTACCTAGAGAGATACTCAGTATATTTAATAATTTTTTAGCTCCTTACTTGAGTCTTTGTAGGTAACAGAATTTCTCAGTAGAAAATATCGAATTCCCTCCGGCGTATAGTGAGAGGCTGCATCAAATGGCGAAACAACGTTCATATTTGATTTTGACATTTTTTGACCCTCAACGGTCCAGTGGGAGTGACACAATAAAGTTTCCGGCGGTTCATAGCCTGCTGCTATGAGAAAAGCTGGCCAGAAAATACCGTGAAATTTCAAAATGTCTTTTCCAATAACCTAATGTGTGTTATAAAATAAGTAATTTTACGATGCATTCTCCTTTTTTCACCGTGTGTGGCGAAAATAAAAAAGCACATTTTCATCGAAAATTGAGAAAATACGGGAAAAAAATTGATAAAAAAACTCTACAATACCTGAATAGATGGAGGCCAAAATTGTTTGCATTTTTCATCTGGATATCCTAATATTGTCAAGTAATTAATTAGAGCATCGAACCAGACATAAATACTTTGGGTATCATCATTAGGCGTTTGAATTCCCCAAGGGACACGATTTGTGGGTCTCGAGATACTTAGATCTTGAAAAACTCTTTCATCGTTCGCCCAGTGCAATAAAATTTTATAAAATTTCTCTGGTCTCACTGCATTCTCTGAAAATTGGTGATAAATAATAGTAAGGGGCCGTACTTGGGCCGTACACATAATACGTCACGCGGCTAGGGGGAGGGAGAGGGTCTGAGAATTGGGACTAACAATAAGTGTGACATAGGGGTGGGGGGGTGAACTCATGTGTTACGTCACAATCTTTTAAATTCAAAGATTATAAGAAATTATATGTGACAATGTCACTTTTTCTAAATGAAACAAGTTAAAAATGCTTTAAACTATATTTAATATCTATTATGTACCGGTTTAACATCTATTGGTATATTATTTATAATATGATAAATAATATATTCTCTTAATTTGAATCAGTTAAAAATCATGGTTTTAACTGACAATCAGCAGTGACTGACTTTTTGCTTCTGAATCAGTTAAAAATAACTGAAAAATTATCCACAAAACACTGAAACTTTTCTAAATATGTATATTAAAGATTTGCTTGCATACTTCAAAAAATTTACTTGCAAAGTTTATTTTAAAATTTTGTAAAGATTTAAATTTCTCACTCCAATAAATGTTTATCGTCAAATTTTCTTAAAAATATAGCTTGAAACTTTCCTGAACATTTGAATTACATTTTTGACTATTATACTTTCGTGAAAATTTTCCTGAAAATTTAAGTTAAATTTTCAGGAAAGTTTCCCGCTAAACATTTATTGAAGTGGGATATTTAAATCTTTACACAATTTTCACTAAACTTTGCATTTAAATATTTCGAAGCGTGCGAGTAAATCTTTAATAAATTGTTAGAAAAGTTTCGGTGCTATGTAGGTAGTTAAACGTGACTAATTGAATTAATAAAAAAAAATTGTATTGAAACGTCAGTTATTTTTAACTAATTGTCAGAAAAAAATATTAGGGGAGAGTCTCCAGTTGTGAGACACCTTCAGTTGTGAGACAGTCAATTTTTTTTTAAACATGCAATATTAAAAAGCCGATTGGTTTATATAAAAACATTTCTTTTTATATGAGCCAACTTTTTCTTGTACGCCGAAGCGGATATATAAACTGTTTTTGTTAAATACCAACACTGTGTGTGATAATCGACTAAAAAGCGTTTTTTCAATAAATGCAAAGTAATTTTTTTCCAAGTTAATTAATTAGGAAAGGTAAATGTAATGCATTTTCTTTTAGTGTTTTCCTTATATTTTGTAATGCAATATTGCATTGTTCCAACCTACGGTTGAAAATAATTTAATTTTCTTTTTTCAAAATAGCGCCAATTTCTGGATGTGAGACACAGCATATCACCAGTTGTAAGACGGTGTCGACACCCATCTGGGCAGCACAAAAAATACGACTTTGCAGGCATACTATTTAAATGTTGTTTTGATTTTTTTCTAGTATTTTTGGGCTTGTCAAGTGGAAAAAAGTCAATTGATTCAGAAGAAATCAATTTTAATGCTCTTGTTGAAGCTATTAAATTGTGTTTATTTGATAGTCATATTTTGTCGAATAAATATTATTATTTAGTATATAATAATATATATTATTAATATATTTAATTATTTCTACTAAACATAACGTTTTATGTCAAACTTATTAAATTTTAGCAATTTTTAATGAGTGTCTCACAACTGGATGAGACATATTTTTTTTTTTGAAAAAAGCGATGTGCTCGGAAAATGTATCGTAAAATTTTTTTAGTTTATCGAAACACTATACTTTCTTTTAATAAAAGTTACGTATTTCTGTTACCTTTCGAACGGTGTATTTTATTTACAATTTCGTTTACCCGTTTACAATTTACAGGTCAAAAATAAAACCCGTCTCACAACTGGAGACTCTCCCCTACTATTTGAATTAGTGTCTGACTTTTTGCTTCTAAATCAGTTATTTTTAACTGATTCAATAATTTAGAGTGTAGGATATAATATATAATGTCCAATGTATAAAATTTACAGTGGAATTTACGTGTGTGACGTGACGTAAGGGGAGGGGTTCAAGATTTGTGACGAAGTGTGACATAGGGGAGGGAGGGGTTAAAAATGGTCAAAAATCGCATGACGTATTATGTGTACGGCCCCTAAATAATACCTAATAATAAAATAGAATTTATATCACTACAGTTTTCAAAGCTCAACTCAACCATAATTTACTTTCTATTTAAATATTTTCAAAAATTACTGTAATAAAATGGAAAATAGTGTAAATTCAATATTTATTTACTTACAACAATTAATTTTTAAATACACAAAATAATTTTTATTATAAAATATAAATTAAAGAAGGTATTAAAAATATCATCAAATTTTATGTTTAAAATTTAATAGAAAATAATAATAATAATAAATAATAACAACAATAAATATTTAATAATAGTATAAAATTGAATAATAGTAAATCATTACAATTAAATAATTATAAATGATACTAAAAATGAAATAGTAATTAAAAAAATAAAATTATTCTTTACGAGCAAATATTTTATCGTGTAAATACCATTTTTCAGCCAGTGTCTCACGTCGTCTTGAAACGCGCTGAGACGAAATTTAAAATTTTCCTCTTCGTACCACTCGACAGGATGGCCGGACTCCAAGGATATTTTTACAAGTTCACCTTTATTATTTTTCTTTTCAGTTATTTCGTCATTTGAAAGGAAAGCCTCGTCTGATACACAGTACCAACCACTGTACTTTCCTGAATAAATGTGTCCTCGCTCAGATAATTTGTTCTAACATAATATATTTATTAATACTAACATTAAAAAATTTATATTTAATCAATATCAATATTATTACATTAAAAAATTTATTAATATATATTTAATTCTCTAAAGTTTCGAATGCTCAAAGTGATTGACGATTTTTTCTTTATTACTTCTTCAAATATGAATTCTATCAGAAATTGCATTATTAAGATTTCAATTAAATTATTTTTTAGAATTTTTAACTAAAACTCTTTGTTTAAATCAATTATTTTGAATAATGGTTGAGAAAGTTCTTTGAAAATTTAATTATTCGAAAAATTTTCAATTAAACATATATGTGACCTGGACAGTGAAAAAGGACCTTACGTGAAAAACAAGTTTTCGAAAAAACAGCAGTTAAAGTTTAACTTAGAAAAACCCTTGTAACTTTTTTAAATATTAATACTTTTCAATCAATTTAGGCTTATTTTCTTCACCGTGGATCACATTATCAAAATAAAAAACATACAAGTAATGAAAATTTTTTTTAATAATTGTTTATATAAATTAATAACAAACTCCCCAAACATAAGAAAAATAATCAAAAAGTTTTCTAAATAGCAACAATAAGTATAAATAATTGACACATGTTTGTAAGGGTTTTCGAGGCCACTAATTACGATTATGATGTTAAATTGACAATTTGACAGTTGACAGCTGTCAACTTTTCTAAAAAGTGGTCGTTTTTATAAAAAAGACAGTAATAAGGATTTTGAGGTCGTTGGTTACGAATATGATATCAAATTTGAATTTTAACTCTTGACAGTTGTCAAAAAAACTGTCAACTTTTCAAAATAATAAAAAATTATCGTCTTCGTTATTTTAATTTTAAAAAATTCATTTTTTTCGTATTTTTACTATTGTTTCTTTTGACTTTAAAAAAAATTTTTTAACACTTCTAATCAACTTATGACTTTTTGGTTTTCACCATCTTAAAGAGCGTTTCAAACTCTATCCGAATCAACAAAAAAGTAAAAAATGATTTTTTGACACGTAAGGTCCCTTTTCATAGACCAGGTCACATATAGGTATTTAAAAATTTAACTAATTTCTAGAAAAAAAAAATTTTTCAAAAAAATACTTTCTTCAAAATTTTTCATTAAAGTTAAATTGTAATAATTTAGATTGTACAATTACAAAGTAAATTACAATTTCAATATTGTAAGAAATAGAAAAGGCTTTCTAGGTTTTGTATTCAAATTCTTGTCGATTTCAAAGTTTATAAAGCAAAAAAAAAAAAAATTCAAGAACAATATTTTTTCATAGGAGTAGAGATGATTCTATCACTCAGTCGTATTTTCACTATTTATTAATATTTTTTCATATTATAAATATAAACATAAAAATTAATTCTGCGATATATTAAGAAATATATTTGCAAGTGCTCAATTTTTAAAAAAGTGGTGATTCGGTTTAATTAAATCTTCTTGTCAGTATAATTAATAATTTGATTTTAGATTTACCTAAAGTTTTAAACGTTCAAATGAACAAAATACTTTTTTCAACTCCAATATTTTAAAAAATTACTAGACTAAAAAGAAAAATATTGTAACTGAATATTTATTTAGTTAAAAATTATTCTTTTAATTATAAAAAATAATATTTTGTTACTAAAATTAAAATTAAAAGAAGTAATAAAATTGTCGTCGTTCATTTGAAAGTTCAAAACTTTAGGAATATGATTTTAATTAAAAAATTCAAAAATGTAATCTTAAAATTATTATTTTTGTTTTAAATCAATATTTACCCAAAAATTATGTACAGCCACACGATGGCGATTTTCAGTCGTTCGGATAAAATCATAATATCCGATATTAAATGTATCGCACATATTTTTAAAAGTGAGAGAAATTTTATCACAATATTTTCCATTTGGAAGTTTATTTTTCTCTGCAGCACGCTCGATTTTCGTTCCATGCTCATCAGTTCCGGTACTCAAAATTGTCTTATATCCTAACATCGAATTAAATCTTGCAAACGTATCCGCCACAGCCGCTGAATATAAATGCCCAATGTGAGGAACTGCAAATAATTTCATAATAATATAATTTATAATCATAATTAATAATATGATTATTTTACTATAACATCAACATAATTTTAAAATGAATATTTTCAATTATCAAATAATATTTTCAAAAGAATTACAAAAAATTTCAAGTTCTAATACAATCAATATAATTTCTAGAAAAATCAATTTAGACATTACTTTACCATCATTGACGTAAAAAATTGGAGTTGTAATATATTTGTAATCGCTTGCTGAGGATGAATAATTTCTGGAAATTTCTCTTTGAAAACGATTTTGATGACACAAAGCGGAAAAGAAGGTTCGTGACAAATTAACTGATTGCAACGAAGCAGGAATTTCTACTGTAAAAGACAATTACGACCAATAATATATCTCACAAAATTAATAAAATAATTCTTCTTCAAAAAATTATCACAAAGAGAATAATTTCATTCAAAATTCACATAAATTAAAAAAAAACACAATTTTATGTGAACATTATCGGTTAATGTTTTACAGAAACAAAACCAAGTTTTTAATTGCAAACAAAAAAAACAAAAATTAACTAATTTAGAATTATTAATTAGAAAAGAATAGTTTCTTAAATTTTGAAAAAGAATGAAATTTCTGAAATAAAAAAGTAAACAATGGAGAAAATAAAAATCTATTTTATAGAGAAATAAAATAACAATAAAATGAAATAATAAAATAATAATAATTTGGTACAGGTCCGTTTGTAAATAAACCAGAAGTAAAGTTAATTAAATTTATTCTACATTAAAATGGCTCTTTTTGTTACAAAAAAATTTAATTCTTATTTTCAACTAATTTTGTATTTTTATTCTCCCTTGTGAGAGAAATTGTTTCCAATTGTGCGATGAGATCCATATGCTTAAAAGAATCTGGCTTCTCCGTGAATGTTTTTATTAATTCCAATCGTTTAGGATCATCGGCAGAATAATAAAGTTGTAATTCATTTGCTAAACATTGTGCCTCCTGTACATCAATTGATTTTATATCAAATTCACCGCGCATTAAAACAATTCCTTTTGTATCTTTCAATTCACAATAGTGAATCATTGTTAGACACTCGGGTGCATTTTCCTTATGAGTTTGAAACCAAAGTAATGGTGTCATATGAATTTCTGATCCATGAAATTGAACCATAATAAATTCATAGCCTTTCTCACGTGGTAATGGCAGTAAAAATGTTGGATATTTACCACCAAGCTCAAATATTCTTTCATATTGTTCTACAGTCAATATTCCTGCAATACAATCTTTATGCTTGTGATATTCTTGCCAAATTTCTGAAATTTCCTCCCTCGTTTTATCCTCAATTAATTCAACTTTCATTATGTCGGCCAATTTTGCTTCTCTCTTTTGTAAATTTGTCTCTGCCAATGGTTTTGCATCAGTCCGTTGAAAACATCTTTCACGTTTTTCTTTAACATTCGAATTAGTACGAAAAAAATGTATTTACATTTTAAATTTATTTAAAAACTAAAGTAATTAACTAAGGACCTATACCAAATTAATTTCGAATTACTTTACTATAATCTAAAAGTTTACTCAATATATAAAATAACAAATCAGGGTGGTCACAAGTTTCAGTTTATTAATTTCCCTGACAATTTACTGACATTATAATTATTTTCCCTGACAAAATTATTTTTACAAGAAAATATAAAAGTTTACGGAAAATGAGTAAAATTGATAAATTTTAATAATTTCTAAAAATTACAATTATAACCCTACCTGAATTCAATTATTTTCTTCAATCTTCAACTAAACTTCATCTCTAAATCAATTATTTTAAATAATTTTCCGAAAGTTTTTCTGGAATTCAATTATTTAAATACAAAAACTCAATTTTTTATAATAATAATTGTAACTGTCCATATTTTTTCTTAAGTTATTAAGGTAAAATATTTTCAAAAAATTATAATAAATAAATTCTTACAATTATTTTTTTTAAAAAAGATTTGAAAAATAATAGTTTTTTAATTATATACCTACAATTGAAAAATTTTCAAACAATTGAAATCGATACCTCCGTGCAAAAAAAACCACTCTCACGTTGGTTCTCTAAAGTAACCACTCTGTATTTTTCCTCATAACCTGGTAATATTTTGTATTTTGTTTTATACATTTTTTATTTAAAGGTTATTATTTGCAAGAAAATCTAAACACAATTTATAATCAGTCACTATTGATAGAGTATAAATGTTTATTATATTTCATTGTAAATATTTTATATTTTTAATAAAAAATGAATGAAAGAGAATATGATGAGGTTAGGAAACAAAAGCAGTTCTGGTTACTTTAGAGAACCAACGTGAGAGTGGTTTTTTTTGCACGGAGGTATCGAAATTTGGTAAAATGTTTTAAAAATAATTTAATTTTTGAAAAATATAAATAAAAATAATCAAATTTTTTAAGAATTTTAATTGTAATAATATGACCATCATTTCTCCGAAATTTTTATAAATTTTTATTCACTTTGTTCGAAGATAATTGAATCTTTAAAAGTTTTGATAAAACAATTTTAAGAATTAGTTTTTAAAAATATTTTAATGTAATTTTTCGAAAATAATTGAATTTCTTAACAAAATTTTTGTATAATTTAAAAAAAAATATTAATTTTTTGATGAATTTTAATTAAAAATTTTGAACATGATTTTTTTCTCCAAAATGTTAAAAATAATTCTAAAATGAGCCACCGGAAATTATAACCACACATAAAATTCTGACGCCCATTGAATTAGCATGGAGGTCAGAATTTTATGTGTGGTTATACTTTCCGAAGGCTCAAATGTTATTATTTTTTGTATTTATTTAAATTTTTGGAAATATGGAATTGAAAATACTGAAAAAGTTGAATGTTAAAAAATTAGCTTCTAATTTTCATTAATTTTGATTTTTAAATTTATATTTAAAGATTTTTCATTGACATTTTTGATAATTCAATTACAGTGGAACCTCGATTATCCGAACCAAAAATCATTTTATCCGAAATTTATGACAAAAAAATCTTAAAATTCTCTGTTTTATTAATATATTATTATGAATTAATATATATTTACATACTATATACATACATACTTATCAATATTTAAAAAATGTATTAAATTAAATATATATTGTTCAACTGTACAATTTTTTTTACTTTAATTACGAAAAAAATTTAAATTTCTATTATCCGAACTTTTGATTATGCGAACCCGGCCTTGCCTAGGTTAGTTCGGATAATCAAGGTTCCACTGTATTTTTAAAATTTGCAATTAAAATTCTTTAAAAGTTGATTTTCAAAAATTGTAACAAAATACTTGAAAAAAAATTAATTATTTTTAATTAAATTTTACAAAATTTCAATTATTGAAAAAGATTTTTATTATAATTTACATAATTCAAAAATTTTATTATCTTAAAAAATGATTCAAGAATAATTTTTCAAAGATTTGTTTATAGGTAGTTATTTTTCGCATTAGAAAAATCGAAATAAGTTGCACTTTATTATACTAAAAATTGTGGTATTTTGTTGTTATTTTCCCTGATAAAAAAAATTTTGTTTTCCTGACATTTGCCTGACATGTGGCCACCCTGTAAATTAAAAATTTAAGAACAAATTTTCAATGAAAGACTAAATAATATGAGTTAAACTATATTCTTAAAATGACTAAAAAAATAAACATCGCGTATAAGTAAACAAATTATTTTATAAAACAATATAGATAATAAAATTGGAGTTGTGTACCTTTTTCCTCTTGTATTTTTCTCTCATTCTCACTGACACGTCCTAAAAATTCTTCAGGACTTGTTTGTTGTAGTTTAGCAATTTTCTGTGAATATTTTTCATAATAAGGATTTTTTTGCAAATTCTCCAATACTTTTTCTAATCTCGGTCTAGTTGACATAATAGATCTTTTCGAAGTAACAGACAATATTCGACTATTTCTTAAGCATCCAAATAATTTCACGTACTTATTATATGAGAGAAATGATACTGCCATTGATAATTTATTAAAAATTTCTAAAAATAAGTTTTTGGTTTGTTAATTAACAATAAGAAAGGAGAACAAGTGTTTTTTTCAACACACGTGCGCCGCCATTTTGAATTTCTAGTGTCAAAAACTCCAGTCGTTGAGTTTCTAGTTGACTAAAAATTTGCTTCTTATACTTATTTATTTAAATAAATAAATTGTTATTTCTATTTTTAAATTATAAATAATAGCTAAAAGAGGCTAAATATTATCGTTTTTACTTATTACTAAACTTTTTCAATCATTTCATATGTAGCACAAGGTTCCGGCCATATGTGATTCAGGAAAGTACCTAAAAGTGTGTTTCGGGTTCTTTCATGCCCACAAATTGTCAAACAATAAAATTTGAAAAGTACCAATAAGTTTTTTTTGTAAATCAACATGTAAAGTACGCAACGTTTACTAATTTATTTGTAAATGTTCCAAGTAAGAAAATAATAACAATTTAAAAACATTTAATAAAAATTAGATTTTCAACTCATTTATTTCAATTTTAATCATTTATATTAACAAAAGCACGAGTTTTTATTAAGTACCTCTCCAAAGCAACCACTGTTGCTATAATAATATTTTCCACTATTGTTTAAAATCAGAAAAGAAATAAACATAGAATAAATTAATTTTGTAAAATAATAAATTAAAATGTTTCAAGTTTATACAGCCCTGAATCGAACAAATAGGATCGATTACTACGTAAATCAAACGCACTCTTGTTTTTTATAAGCTTTTGAAAAAAATAAATGAATCACTTGTCAAAATTTGATAGAAACAAAACATAAATTTGTTAAATAACATTTTTCCGTACTGAAGTGATTTAGTGACAGTGAATATAGAGAAAAAATTGAGAATAAAAATTCTATTGACTATATCGAAACAGAGGAACATTTCCGTAACGTCAGTTGCTCGCTCGTATCTCTTTGGCGAAGGGGAAAATGTCGGTGTGTTGGTGGGGTCTGCTGTGCCACTAGTGACTTTCGCCATCAATTTCTCTTTGTATTTAAACATATTTTTGATTCAGGGTAAGAAAACCCATTAACGCAAATTCTGCCCTTGATTGATAACAAAAGAAAAAGCACCGAAAGGGTGCTCGCGATAGTGAAATATTGTTCGAGATTTCGTGCGTATTGTGCGGATCTTGAAAAGGGCAGTGTTTTGTGCGTGGCAGGCATAGAACGAAGAAGGCACCAGGCAACATGACGTCGGTACTCGCTATAGGCAAATCCGAATTTATTGTCGGTGGCAAGTACAGGTTAATAAGAAAAATTGGCTCTGGATCTTTTGGAGATATTTATCTTGGGATCAACATCTCCCATGGAGAGGTGAATAGAAAATTAAAATATATACCGTTTTTCGATCGCGACACCTCCCTTTTGTCCCGATTCACCTTGTCCGAACTGTCTAACTGTCTCTTCTCTTTTGATTTTTCAATTCCTTTTCCTCATTGAGTGTGAAATTTCACTAAACCCATGGAAATTGTATCAAACTCATTGCAATTTTCAAGATTCCACCATTTATGGAATAAACTTTGACGACTTTGACGCAAGAATGGAAAGTGTATTTGAAAATTTTTTTTTATTTTATTTTGACATTTTCATTTTAAATGCCCCGAAAGAGAAATGAAGAGAAAGGAAATGAAAGAGAAACCTGATTGCATGAAAATCAGTTAGTGCTTTGTTGTTCCAACTAGTGCGATGCAGGTGTTACGAAACTTTAACTCGAGGTCACAAGAAACCTCGAAACAATCATTTCTTGAAACACTAACGCTGTTAAAATGACCATATTTGTTTTCAAGTGAAAATTAACTGTATTCGAACATTTGTATATATATATATATACACATACATATATATATATATATATATATATATATATATATAAGTATATTTTGTGCGGATCGAAATTTTCAAATTAGATTCTCTCAAGTCTCTTGATTATATTATCTGTTTATATGTACTCGAAAACAGAAACAATCTTGGTAAATTTATATTTCACTTTTCCAGGAAGTCGTATAGGATGATTTGCGCCAGATGACGACACAAAGATCTCAACTTTCAATCCTCATTCTCTGGTCTAAAAATATTTGACCCACAAAATTTTGGAGTCCGTTTTCATGTTTATGGCGTCCCGTTAAAATTGCATTTATTTAGAAAAAAATACTTTTTTCAAATCATTTTTTCATTACAAACGAGACAATTTGCTTTTAACAAAATTCTTCTTTTTAATTGTCCCACATTTATTATCTTTCTAGAATTATAATTCGTTTTCATTCCAGTATTAACATTTAACAAATTATTTTTTCCATATTAATTTACTTAAATTTTTGGTCTTTTTTTTCTTATTCATATTTTTAGAGAGACAATTTTGAAAATTGGTTTTTATGAAAAAAAACGTACCAGCTAAATTTAGAGATATTTTGTAAATATGTAAGCTATGTACAAATTTACATAAGTGTCAAAAATTGAATTCAATTATTGGTATGATAAAATTAAGTGCATTGAAAATTTTGATGTTTGTTATCATTATACGCTGATAAATGAAAACAATGAGTTGATAATTTAATTTTTGTTTTCAGGAAGTCGCTATTAAACTTGAAAATATTCGTGCTCGCCACCCGCAACTTCTTTACGAATCCAAGTTATACAAAATTCTTCACGGTGGCATCGGAATACCCCACATACGCTGGTAATTAATTTTCTTTTTTCAATTTTTCAAAATAATTGAAATCTTCTTTTTTAATTTGAATCTTAATTTCACAGTTCTACGTTTGTTAGAAACGTTTTCTTTCAAAATTTGTATACAACATTTTATCTATTTGTATACAACATTTTAGTTGGAAAATGTTTTTTTATTTATTATTAGCTAGTTAGCGTTAATTTAACTTCTATTATTTTTTTCATTATATTATTTATTTCAATCTTTATTTGCCTCTATTTAAAATTTATTCTTTTATTTATCACAATTCATAATTCTCAACGTTTAAATGAAATTATTTTTATGTCGATTTTTTATTTTCCTAAAGTATTCAACGTTCAAATGAACGAAATATTTTTTTATGCTCCAATATTATTAAAAATTAATAGACTAAAGTGGAAAAATATGTTAATTAATTATTTTTTTAGCTAAAAAAACATTTTTTTAACCATAAAACACAATATTTTGTAAATAAAATTCAAATTAAAAGAAGTAATAAAAATATTGACGGTCGAAACTTTAGGAACATGATTTTTTTTCGAAAAATAGTTACTGCAATAAAAAAAGCGTAAATTAAATTTTAGTTTAACTTTTTTAATTATTTTATTTATTTGAATCTTTGTTTGTTTCTATTTGTACTTTATTCTTTTATTTGTCACGATTCTTTATTTCTGAAAGTTCAAATGAAGATTCTTTATGTTGATTTTTTTTCCAAAAAGCTCACTGCGATAAATTTTAAAAGCGTAAATTAAACATTTTGAATTTCATTACGTGATGCAATGTTATATATAACATTTGAATTTCCAACAAAATTTCGTTTTTCAACGTTTAGGACTTTAGGAACAAATTTTATTTGCTGTTTTCTTAATTTGTTTTTTTTTATTCTCTTTTATCGAATTAGAAAGAAAATTATAATCCACAAGTTTTGAACGTTCAAATCTACGAAAAATTATTTATAAAGTTTCTGATTCTAAAATTTAGATTTTGAATTTTTGTTTTAATTAAAATTGTTGTAATCAATTAATAAAAAAATGAATATAATAGTATATTGTGCAACAAGTACAGAAAGAAGCTGTTTTCCGACGAGTGCAAAGTTTGCTGTCCCGAGCGAAGCGAGGGCAGCAATTTGCACGAACTCGGAAAATCTTCTTTCGTACGTGTTGCACACAGTACTTTGTGCAACACCTTTTGGTTTTGATAAAAAAAAGCTGTTTGGAAACGCTAGTTGACGCCAACATACGTACTGTTTAGCAGGGTTTGGAACGTATTTTACCGCACGTAATATACGTGGTTTTCTACGCGTATATTACTGTAATAAACAGGTATTCTACAAATAGAAAACAAATACCTATGTATATCACCAAAAAACCCAAAAGTTTAAGAACTTTGCCGCACAAGTGCAGCAAAGTAAGCACTTTGCCGCACTAGTGCAGCAAAATAAGCCCTTTTTCGCACTAGTGCAGCAAAGTAAGCTCTTTGCCGCACTAGTGCAGCAAAGTACTGTTTTGCGCCTACTTTACAGGCATGCAAAGTATTACTTTCCTTACAGGTGTTGCACAAACATATTTTATTCATTTGAACCTTCAAAACTTGTAGATCATAAAAAATTTGTTTAAAACTGTTTCGAGTGTATAAATTCTCATTTTCCACTTTTACTTTTTTATTCTTCTTTTTTTACATTTTCATCAATTTGAAACGATATTTAATTTCTATTTTTTTTATTGAATTTGTATTTGTCAATGTTTACTCGTTGCATTCAGTGTTGACTAAATTAAATGACTCATTTCTCACTTGCATACACATAACACTCAATGTCTGATGTTTTTGCCAAACGTTATTCATTTCTCAATATCGAAAGATTCAATACATTAAAGTACGTCTATATTTTTACGAACGTGTTTTTTCATTTTATTTGCATGTAGAATATTTCTTTCACAAAATATCAACAAAAAATGTGAAACATACGCGTTTCGTTAGTGGAAAATTTTTTCCACTATTTTGTTTTGCTAATAATAATAATAATAATAATAATAATAATGTTAATAATAATAAATATTTAACTAGGTATGGTCAAGAACGTGAATACAATGTCTTAGTAATGGATCTGTTGGGCCCATCTCTAGAGGACCTTTTTACCTTCTGTTCACGAAGGTTCACAATAAAAACAGTTCTAATGCTGGCTGATCAAATGATTGGAAGAATTGAATTCGTCCATTGCAAACATTTTATTCACAGGGACATTAAACCAGATAATTTTTTGATGGGTATTGGACGTCACTGTAATAAGGTGCGTTTTATTTTTCTTCTTCTTCTCTTCTTTTTTTTCTTTATTGATCGATATTGCTGAGAGTTTTTCTTTTACTTTTTCACTTTATAATTCTCTCCTTTTTAAATGGGGATTCTAAAAACGTAAAAATCCCAAAAGGGTACTCGAAGGAGAATAATAATAGCACCTAATTTTAAAAATCTTTTTTTTTTTAACTATTTTTTACAATTTTGTTTTACTCATTGAAAATTAGATTTAAAACATAAATTCTACACAGTTTTCATTTAAAAATTTAAGAAAAATTTAGTTAGTAAAAGCCATTTACAAATGTTGTCAAAAGATGTCAAAGTCGATTGGACATTTCCATTGAAGCTCCAATTCTCGAAAAACTTCCTGAAAATTATTAAAAATAATTGATTTAGATTAGAATTTTAGTAAAAACATTCTAGTATTGAAAGAGTTGAGGAGCAAGTTTTCAAAACTTGATAAATCAATATTTTCTTATTTCGAGAAATTGAAACAAATGACTTTCCTCACTTCACCAATAAAATTAATTTTAAAATAAAAATTTTGAAATAATTTATTTCTATAACAATGTTTTTATATTTAAAATGATCTGTTTTTAATTGTGACAGGTCGATTTGTAAAGTCCTTAAATTATTAAATTTATGTTTATCTCGATTTTTTTAAAAAATGAATTTATCAGCTTTGAATTTTGAATAATTCTAATTAAAAATTCTAAACAACTTAGTTCTTTGAAAAATTTTAATTCGAATTTTTTTGAAATTAGTTATTAATTAATAATTTTTTGGAATTTTTGAACATACGTATATTTAATTGAAAATTTTTTGAATAATCAAAGTTTCGTAAAATTAAATTGAAGACAATTGTATTTTAGACGTATTGTAAGTGAACTTTTTTTTTAATAATTAAATTCTCAAAGTTATTAAAAATAAATGATTTAGAAAAGGATTTCAGTAAGAATTTTAGGACAAAAATTGAATTTTGGAGAAATTACACAATAGCAATTTTTAGAAAAATTAAATTTCAGATTTCAATTTTAATCTTTTTATAATTTCAATTGATGTATAAGTTTAATTATATTGAAATACTCATTTGAAAAATAATTAAACTTCTGGGTAATTGTAGTTAAAAATTATAGAAAATAATTGAAATTTAAAAAAATTTTAACTTCTGTTGAAAAGTAAATTACTAAAAGTATTCAAATATTTATTTAATAAGAATTAGGTTTTCGACAAATTTTAATTAAAAAATTTTTTGAAGATAATTGAATTCCAGAAAGTAATTACATAATTAAAAAATTATCAAACAATTATAAATTCATGAAATTTTACCAAAATAAATGTTATATTTTGGAGAATTTTATTACTATTTTTTTTAAAATAATCATGTTTTTGAAGAAATATGTTAAAAAGTTTTAAAAACTATTTTGAAAATAATTAATTATGCGAATAATTAATAAACTATGCGACTTTTTTGGGATTTTGAAGTCGATCCAAGGCCTAAAATAAGGATATTAAAATAAATATACATGAGGCATTCCATTTCAAAACGACCCCCTTCGTAAACAATTGCCAATGTAAGACAATTTTTAAATGAATATTTCTTCCATTCTGTAGAACCAAATTACTTTTTATATTAGTGATTTCGAAAGTAGAATTTCTGAACTTTCTGATAATAAAAAAAAATATTTTTTTAATAATTTAATTTAAATAGAAAATTGAGTTTAAAAGTTAAACTTTGAAAAATCTCAAAACACGTTACCTCCGATTTTAATAAAATTCATATTAAACTAAAGCTTGAATATTCTTCTTTTTATTTATCAAACGATAATAATGGACATTTCAGTGGATTTTGAGAAAATAATTAAATTTTACAGACATTTAGAAGGTTATTATGCATAAATTGGGAAAAACAAATGCCGCCCTATACTTAATAAATGGTTTTCTCAATATAACCATCGAAATGTTTGTGAAATTTAATTATTTTCTCAAAATCCACTGAAATGTCCATTATTATCGTTTGATAAATAAAAAGAAGAATATTCAAGCTTTCTTTTAATATGAATTTTATTAAAATCGGAGGTAACGTGTTTTGAGATTTTTCAAAGTTTAACTTTTAAACTCAATTTTCTATTTAAATTAAATTATTAAAAAAATATTTTTTTTTATTATCAGAAAGTTCAGAAATTCTACTTTCGAAGTCACTAATATAAAAAGTAATTTGGTTCTACAGAATGGAAGAAATATTCATTTAAAAATTGTCTTACATTGGCAATTGTTTACGAAGGGGGTCGTTTTGAAATGGAATGCCTCACATATGTCTGACAATGATGTTCAACTACAATTGTAACATTAATTAAATTAAATTCTATTCTATAAAAAAAAATTAAAAATTTTATTTTATAAAATAACATTAAATATATTTTTTTGAATAAAAGGAAGACAGAATTTTTCAGAAGTTTTGTAAATAAAAGGAAATGTTAACTTATGTATTCTGTTCTTTCCATTGAAATTTATGTAATTTTTCTCTTTTTTTGCAAATTTCCAAAAGTGACTAATAAAAAATTAATTTCTCAACTCCCGACAGCTCTTTTTGATTGACTTTGGACTCGCGAAGAAATACAGGGATAGTCGCACAAGATCGCATATTGTGTACAGAGAAGACAAAAATTTGACTGGTACGGCGAGGTATGCTTCCATTAATGCACATGTTGGAATTGAACAAAGTCGTCGAGACGACATGGAATCACTTGGGTACGTACTTATGTACTTCAATCGTGGATCTCTTCCCTGGCAGGGACTCAAAGCTGCCACAAAGAAGCAAAAATATGAAAAAATCAGTGAGAAAAAAATGTCCACACCAGTCGAAGTTTTGTGCAAGGTAATTGTTATTTCTTTCTTTCAAAATTATTTCAAAATAAAATTTTATTATAATTTTCAGTCAGATATTAAAATAATGAATTATAAAGTTTGTTTTTACTTTTTATATTGCAATTGGTAATTTCTGGAAATATTTTGTTAAATTGAACGTTCAAAACTGCAATGTAAATATTTGAATATTTTCATCAATTTGAAAATTACGTTTAAAGTTACACTTGTAACAAAAGATTGAACTAAAATGAATCTTGAATTTTTAATTTCGGATTTATGTAAATAATTTTATGATGACTTTGTTTTTAAAAGGGCTTCCCAGCTGAATTTGCGATGTACCTGAACTATACGCGAGGCCTCCGCTTCGAAGAGAGTCCAGATTATATGTACCTTCGACAACTGTTTCGTATTCTGTTCCGCACCTTGAATCATCAATACGATTATACGTTTGACTGGACGATGTTGAAGCAAAAGGCTGCAGTTGCCTCTTTAAATAGCGGTGCTTCGGCAAGTGGTCACGGACAGCCTAGTCAGGGCGTTGCGGTACAAGGTACCGTTCAAGGTCAGCAGCCTTCTCAAGCAGCCGGGCAACCAGGTTCGTAAAAGATTTCTGGATATGCTTTTTGGCGCAAAACTTTATAATACATATATCATTGAGAACAAGTTTTCAAAACAAAAAATATATATATTTATATATTTCACATCACAGAACGTGATTGAAATTTAAAATAAACAATTTACCCTCTCATGTAAATTGAAAAAGAAGAATCAAGCCCTATTTATACAAATTTTGTTACTTTACTCAACTCCAATTTCTTCTAAAAATAAGAAAAAAAAAACGTATCATGGAAAATGGGGGGAATAAAGTACCAAAATTGATACAATCAGAAAAAAAATTTATTATCAGATTTAAAAGTATTTAATTTGGTATTGAAACAAAGAACATGAAGGTATAAACTAAAATGCAATTGATACTAGACTATGTACGTATTGTGAAATTTAATTTTCATGGAAATCTTTTTGTCTTTTCTCCCCTTTTTTTGTTTGCGCTCAGCATCTAAGACTTTATACTTTTAAGTTTTTTTTTTTTATTACTTTCTACTGATCTAAATTTTTATTCTTTTCTTTCATAGAAGGAATAAATTACATTGAAAATTAAATCAGACATTATTTTTAAGTTCTTTTGTCTTGTAATTAATTTCTACTGTTCTAAATTTTTTGTTTATTTTTTTAATACATTTGAATAAATTGAATAAGACTATTTTAAAGTTTTTTTTGTCTTATAATTAATTTCTACTCTCTGAAGTTTATTTTCTTTCTTTCTTTCCCTATATTTTATTTATTTTTCCCTTGAATGATTTGGTTAAAATGAGAAATAAATTAAATAAAAATTGAATTGGACTAAATTAAAAATTAAAATTAAAATTAAAATTAAATTCTATTATTTCGAATTTGTATTTTTTTTAAATACTTTAGCATATAATTGAACGAATTTTATTAAAATTAAAATTACAAGAAAATTTTCGTTTTTTTCGTTTTTTCATTAATTTTCTGAATGTATATGTCTTGTTATTTTCCAATACAAATAAACAACTATTACAATGTCAATGCTATATTTAATTATTTAGACATTTTTTAATTTTTTCTGTATTCAAATTTCGAAAAACTTTGTAAATAATAAATAAATAATTACAAAAATATATAGAATTCTATTGAGTTTTAATCAAAGTAGAAATATAGATAATTTGTATTAGAGTCGATACTTTTTTCGTACATTTCTTTATCAATTCAAAAACGATTATTTTGAATAATTTCAACTTGAAAATTTACTTTTGTAATTGGTATTGAAATTTGATTTTTAAATACGAATGTAGTCTATCGATTTTAATTGCAATAAGTTTTCTTTCTTGTGGAGGAATTGTTTTTTTTTGTTTTTATTTTATTTCGATAATAACTGAAATAAATATTTTTTCATATATTATTGATAAAATAATTTCCTTGATGAATGTTGAAATTTGTTATAAGAGAACTGCAATTTAATCGAAGAAAATTAGTAAATTAAAGTGCAATAGAACACCCGGTTAGATGGATATAAAATGTAATCGTGACGATCGATAAATTATTATTGATCTCTAAAATTCACTTTTTTGTAAAAAAAAAAAAAAATAAAAAAAATAAAAAAACATTAAAAAATGAATAAATAAACTAAAAATGCGTGCGTTAAGAGAACAATCTTGTGTACCTATGTCGCAAAAAACAAATTATTGTACAATATATATCGAAGCTGAAAAAATTTTGTTATATCGTTTGTCAGCTGACTAATTTCTATTTTTTATCACTTAAGATATATTATTTTATAATGCTAATTATTATTTTGACTATTATTAATATACTATTATTATGATTATGATTATGATTATGATTATGATTATGATTATGATTATTATTATTATTATTATTATTATTATTATTATTATTATTATTATTATTATTATTATTATTATTATTATTATTATTATTATTATTATTATTATTTTACAGTAATAAACAAATAAGTTGTTTGTATTAATATTAATATTTCTTTTGTGGCTACAATAAGGAGAGAAAAATTATTATTATTATTACTTTTATTAATTTCAATGACTGATAATATTATTAAATCGAATTTCGTTTATGTTTTAAGTACTATTATTTTTTTAAGATTAAATGATTTTTAAAGAAAAAAATTAATAATCTTTATTTGATAAAAAATAGTTTAATTGATTGGCTGATAAACGACAGTGAAGAGAAGTTGTCTGTCGAGAATTTATAAAACAATTATACGTTCCTTCCGCTTAAAATAAAGGAGAATAATTTTTAATTGATGCTAAATACAAAAGTGAGAAATAGAAAAGAAAAACTCACGTAGTGAGCGGAAGAGACGTGAAATTTCGAAACCTATATATAGTTAAAAAAAAAAAATAAGGTTGTGCTGTGTAAATCAATCGGAACTTGTTTGTTATTCGAATTCAAACACAGTTAACCGAAATTCTCTATATTATATACATATGCTTAGAAATATATACAATATATGTTAAATAAATAAATAAATCGATATTAAAATGCGAATAAATCAAGAATATAAATTTAGGTAAATAATTAACGATATATAAATAATTGTTTATTTTAACAAAAAATAAATAACAGCACTTCATTTGTTTTCATTAATCACATTTTTAATCAATTGACAGACGCTCCCTTGATCACTGCTTTCATTATACCTAAGTGTATAAAATGTTGAAAAATCTTTAACGAACCATTCATTTCGATATAATCAAATCACATTTTTTTTATATAAAGTGCCAATTCAAAAATATTACGTTTTTTGTTTATTGAAAATAATTTTTAAAATTAGTATATTAATATAAAATTGCTGAATACAATAATACTTATTAATTAATAAATTAATTATAAATTAAATTGATAAATTAAATTAATTAATTATTGACGATTCACAAGTTTTGAAGGTTCATAATTTTAGGATCATAATTATTGGATGAAATTGATTAATTATTAATAAAATTAATTAATTATTAATTAAAATAATTGAATATTAATCAAAGGATAAAAATAGTATATTATTGATGATAATTTTCTTTTAGAGTTAAATTTAAAAATATAGACCGTACGTAATTTAATCGGCACTCTATTCGCATTTCCATTACCAAAAAAAAGAAAAAATGAAAAACAATTGTAAAGATCAGTCATTCATTTACATCCATCTAATCGTTACTAATAATGTGGTTTCATGAAATAAAATTTAAAAAATATATTATTTTGTGTTCGCATATAACAAAAGAAAAACATAGAAAACAAGCCTCTCATATAATATCGTTTAGTAATTGCACATAAATTAATTTTTTTTAATCCTATTAACCATTTCACATGCTTTTTTTCAATGGAATTACTATAGTTGCTTTTGGGCTTAAAAAGAAAATAAATGGCTGGGTACGTCAGAATACTGCAATCGTCGACTCGTCTAAGAACTAAATCAGACATCAGCCATCTTCTAACTGCCACACATTCTCCTTCTTGTCCTTATCCTATTATTTTTATTTTATTTTTATTTTTTTTTTTTTGAAATTTTTGATAAAAAAGAAAAGGAAAATTTGTATTCTATTCATTGTCAGCCTGTTCTACAGTGTTTTTTTTACTTTTATTTTAAATTGAAACGAATTACAATTTAAAAAGAAGAAAGTAATTGAAATTAAATCAATTATATACGAAATTTTGTTGAATGAGTAATAAATAAATAAATTACTTAAATGGATCAATAAATAAATTAATAAATTAGTTTTTTGCGAGAAAAATTCTTGATAATGTTTTTGTATCTTTTCTAGATTATTGATGTTAATGAAAAAGAATAAAAACAAAAAAATAAAAAATTGAAAGTCTGTTTTTTACCAAATTATTATTATTTTGTTTTTTCTATAGTACAGATAAAAATTTCTAATTTTTCACCTTACCTTACGACTCCTTTTTCGTTCTTCGTTTTCATTTTGATCGCATTAAAAATTGAGGGCAAGAAAAAATTGATTGATATTTTGTTTGTAAATAAATATTTTTCGTCTTTTTTTTCTCTCTTTATTGAGAAATGAATGTTATTTTACAGTCAAGAAAATAATTTTCCTTTCGAATATTATTTATCAGGAAACTAATATTATCAATAAAAAAATTTAATAAAAATGACTACCGTCGACCGGGGCTATTTTGTGCACGCTATTTTTTTTAAATGAAAAACCTCGTAAAAATGAAATAAAAATGAATTTTTAAAGAAAAATTGTTAATTTTCAGTAGATTCAGATTTCAATAATTAGTGTTTTATTTTACATTTTGTCGTATATCTACCAAAAAAATTTTACCAGCTCTTTCTTTTTTTAATTTACTCTGGAATATTTACAAAAAAGATTTAATAATGCAGAAACGATCAAAAAAATGTTTTGCTCAACATTATAAAAAAACAAACTTTGATTACTTTAATAAATCGTTGAGTCAAAAAATAGCTATTTGGTGCACAAAATAGCCCCGGTTGACGGCAAATTAAATTTTAAACTTTGTAAAGAAATTATTTAAGATAAATTATCTAATATTATTTCAATGTACAATTTATTCGAACGTAAATAATAAAATATTATCTATAAAAATTTAAATTGGTAAATAAATTCTTATTTATTGTCACTGTTTAATTAAAAATTAAATTTGTTTCAATTTAATTGGAAAGTTTAATTACAGTAGAATTCCAATTATCCGGATCAATTGGGACCAGACCCGATCCGGATAAGCGAAAATCCGGATAATCGAAATGAGCATAAGATTTATATATTTTGAGTAATAAGATTTCAATCTGCTATTTAAAACGCTGCTGCAAAAACCATTTAACCATTGACGCCCCAAGTTCTTTATTTTAAGAGGTTTTCATAACTTTTCTGGACGGGTTTCTATCCGTACATTCCAAATCAGAAGCAAATTTCAAAACCGCAGAACTGTTTTTCTTTAAATCGAGAATCCGGTTAATCGGACGTCCGGATAATTGGAATTCTACTGTAGAACTTAAATCTTCTAATTAAATTTAGTATAATTTATAACTTTTTTATTTTTTAAAATATTTATTTAATTTTTCAAATTTTTAATTTTTTCAGATATAAAATATTTGACGTAAATGAAAAATTTTTCTTTTTGAAGATTAATTTGTAAATAGTCTAATTTTATAAATTGTTTTATAAAATTATTGTAAGGAGATTAGTGACTCTAAAAGAACTTCAAAATTGGAAAATAAATTTTGAACGCAAACAAAAATATGATAGAAATTATTTGCAAAAAATAATTCTGGAAGATTCAATACAAAATTTGTTTAATAAATAAATATTAAATACTTTTTGGAATATTAAAAAGTAGATAATGCTGTACAGTGAGTAAAAGAAACTATTTTTATAATAATGGGGTAAAAATTGCATTTTTACCAAAAGGAAAAAAATGTATTATTTGTTGAAAGATTTTAAACTAATAATTTATTCCAAAAGTGTAACTAGATCTTCCAAAATTGTTTGCAATTAATTTTAATTATATTCTTTTGTGTTAAAAATAATATTTTAATTTTGCCATTATGTTGGGGTCACCACTCTTCTAAATAAGTAAATTATGTGTAAAAAAAAATTTACAAAGTAATGTAAATGTTTTATTTAAAGTGGTTCTCAAATATAATTTATAAAAAAGAAAATTGAACATTTTTTTTGGGTATTTTGTTACAGGGGCGGCTCGTTAAATCATTAATACATTGAGTGATAGCACCAAAAGTTGAACGCGATCGCTGTAGTGTCACACACACTATTCATACTCGACACACCATTTCAACATTCGAATTGAGTCAAAATCAAACGATTCTCTAAGTAACACGAAGAAAATTGATAGAAAAAATTTTATTATCGAATTAGAAAATTAAAACTATATAGAAAATCATTATCATCGTGTACATGTGTGTGTCTTTATACAAAAACAAAAACAAAAACAAAAATTACTTAGAGGATCGATTGATATCAACTTTTTTCCAAGTCAAAAAGAACTGACTCAATAATCATCATTCTTTCTTCATCATCGATTTATCATCAAATTATTACAAACAAAAAAAGGAAGTCATTATAGAGTCCAAATGACGATTCATTTTTACTTGATAAAAAAAAAATTTTTTTCATAGAAAGAAAGAGAGACTTTTTGGAATGTTAATATATTATACATATATATATAAAACCACAAGTATGTTTGGACTAAACGTGAAATAACAATTTTTATAAATTAATCTCTCGATTTAGAAAGTGTGAATTTGTGTGAAGAGTGATAATGAAGACTCGCAGAATTTTTTTAGACCAATTTTAGGGCAAATTCGGTTATGTATAGATAATAAGGATGAAAAAAAATAGTGTAGTGGACTTTTTTTTGTTTGTTTATCTTTTTTTGTTTAGTCTATGAGGACTTATCTGACATTTGCGAAAAACTCATTTCAAAAATATTCTATCGCTAAAATTATACTTTCTTTTTCAATTTCTACATAATCAACGAGTTTTAATTGTCATAAAATAGAAAAAGAAAAATTATAATCTAGACTCTCTTTCTCTCTGTGTGAATATTTTCATTATGTAAAAAAAATATATCCGCATTTCTTCAGAATTAATGACTCCTCCCTTTTATTTATTTTTTTTTTTTTTGTAAATTTGAGCATCGAATACATTTTCGATATTTTGATAAATGTTCGATATTTAAATTTGTTCAAAGACTATTCCTAGCCAACAAAAAGAGTCATTAATTCTCGAGAAAGGAATTCAAAAATTTAGAGGAAATTGATATTTCTCGAAAATTTTTTTCTCTCTTCTCTTTAATCCTCTAACCCCGTAATTTTTTTTTAAAGGCGATAAGAGAGTCGCATCGCCGAAAAATAAAATAAAAAAAATGTAATGTCTGCAGTTGTCTACTGCAAATGAAAAATCGTGATATTTCATATGCTGCCGGCTGCCGATGTAGCATTAAACCTTTATAATTTTTATGCACACTGCGTATGTACTTTTAGTTTCGTTTTTAGCTACTAAGATTTTTCATTATAATTAAGAAGTATAGCCCACGAATGTTTATGTTACGTTTTCTTTTTTTTAAATACCTAATTATACAAAATATATATATATATATATATTATATTGTAGTGTATTATTTTTCGTCGTTTTTTCATAATTAGCCTACTTTGTATACACGTCCGGTAGAAGGGGGTTCACTCTTAAAAAAGAAATAATTATCCAAAAAGAGTAACCCATAAATTATTGAAATGAAACAAGAACAAGATGAATGAAATGAAGAAGATGAAAAAAAGGAAAGCGATAGATGATAGCAATTTATGAGAATCGAGTGTCGATAAAAAATAAAATCACTGGGAGCTTCTTTTAGTAATTTTAATGAATATTTGAAAATAAATGAGAAGCTTTAAAGACGTTTTTTTTTGTCAAAAAAAGTTGATTAAAACTCGAAAATTATACATAAATAAAATGAGACGAATATGTTAGAATAAATAAATAATAATAAAAAAGGAAGAAAGGACAAAAAACAAAGAAAAAGTAATAAACTATTTCTAAAAAAATTGTAAAATTATGATACGGATAAAAAATTGATTATAATAATAATAATAATAATAAAAATAAAAATAATTATAATAAATGAAAATGTGAGAATGAATCTTTAAACTAATTGGGTGCGAATTTATTGAATTTGAATATTATTGGACAGAGTAAATGTGCGAGTGCACGATTTGTATGACTGTAATAAAAAAAAGTTGAGCGAAATAAGTTAATTATTAATTAAATAATAATTAATACACATGCACATTATACTATTCAATATATATTATATTACTATAAAAAATGTGACAGCAATTAAGATACGCGTTATTTCATAAAATACTGAAAAAAAACAAATTATTGCTCCCTTTGTCTCTATAAATAAAGTCTCAACAGAATAATTTCAAATTTTTTTTTATTTCACCTCACTAAATTCCAATTCCGAAAATCCATTTTATTCTTTTTAGCCAATTTGAATCTTTCCTTTCATTTATTTATTCTTTTAAAATATTTAGAATTTTAGAAATTAATGAAATTCTAATTTAATATTTTAAAGCTTAATTAATAACAAAAAGTAATTGAACGAACAAATAATCAAAACAATTTTTGTTTTGATTTCAAAAATCATAATTTAATTTGTAAATTAAATTTAACATTTAAAAACATAAATATACCTATAATAGTTTCTCATAAATTATTGTAGAAAAACCAATTTTTATTAATGCAAAATACGGTAAATAATATTTATGTTATGTGGAATTGAAAAATTGATTTTTAGAAATTTTATATCACTTTTGTAGTAATAATAATTAGTTCAAAATTTTACTAATTAATTCAGATTTTATGAAAAAATTTTGTGATTCTATTTCTGTAAGAAGAAAATTATAATAAAAATTTTTTTAAATAATTGAATTATTTTGAAAAGAATTTTAATAAACTTTGAATAGCTTAGCCCGTATAAGAATATTAAATAAATAAAAAGTAATTGAATTTTTTCGAGAAATTTTATTCAAATTGTATTGAAAATAATTGAATTCCTTCCAAAAAATTTTATTATTCATGAAAATAATTGAATTCTTGAGAAGAATTTCATTAAAATTATATTATAAAAAATAATTGAATTCTCATAAAGAATTTTATCAAAATTTTTGAAAATAATTTTATTCTCTTTCGAAGAATTAAAAAAAAAATGTTTGAAAGTAATTGAACTCTTTCTAGAAATTTTATTAAAATTTTAAAAAAAATGAAATTCCTGTGAAGAATTTTATTACAATTTTAATAAAATAATTAAAATTAAAATTTAAATAGGTATATAAAAAAATTTTAAATTTAATAATTGATTTCCTAAGAAAAATTTAATTACTTATGAATATAATTGAATTTTTTCGAAGAACTTTTTTACATTTTTTTAAGAATATAAAATATATAATAATTTTTGTAATAAATAATGATTACGCAAAAAATTTTTAATTACAAATTTAAATATTACTAACTTAAAACGCATTAAAAATTACACTAATAAATCATTTAAATAATCTTTATTTTAACTTTTACAAGGCGATAGTGATTCGTATGAAATTAAGTACAAAAAGTTGTAGTAAAAAAATGTTTTATTACGAATGGAAAGAAATACGATTCGAAATTTGGAAATACAAAAAAGCGATTATTGCACATTGTCGTAATCAATTGAAAATCTAATTAAAATTGTCTATTGATGAAGTATATATGAGACGATTTTCTCGTGTAAATAAATACGATTTGCATTTTTTTCAATTAGTTTTATAAATAAATAGAAATCGCATAATTTTTTTTATCTAAGTGAGGAAATTTTTATTTTGCTATGATAAAGAACTAATTATTAATAAAATTTAAATAAAGTAATATAATTTTAAACTAGGTAAGTAAAAAAATGGTAATAATATACAAAGCTATTATATAATAATAAAATAGCGAATCAATTTCAATGTTTCGAAGAGTTTAGTCAAAGTCGTTATGATTTTTACATGGAAAAACTTCTATGACTTTGACATACTCTCAATTATAAATTAAATGTTTATAATATTTTTTTTTCAATTTAATTACAATTTTTTCAATAGTTCGGATAGACGAGGAATAAGCAATTTTTTTTCTTAATAACATAGAAGAGCGTGAACTTTACGTAATTCTTCAGTGCCAATATTCATTTTAAATGATTCCGATGGACCGGGATGTGGAATACCAATTTCTGCGACCATTGCTTTCTTTTTCTCGTTCATAGCAGCCACCATTTCACGACTTGGAAACACGGCGAAATTCGATTCGGCGCATCCACCTAAGGTCCTTTTCACTAATTCGCTACGAATTTCACTCTGAAAATAGTGAACAAAAATATGGATTTCAATATTTAGAAGAAAATTATATGTATATAAATATATAAAAAAAACTATAATCTATATTAATGAAAACCATATAAATATATGGAAGAAATAAATAAATAATAAGAAAATACAAAGCTTTTTTCATGAAGAAGCAAAATATTTAAATATTTAGATAACAAATACACAATTATGGTTGAAACAAAATTTATATTTGAAGGAAAAATGTTTAAATACTTACAAAACCAAATATTGAAATATTGGATATAAAAATGGGTAAATATTTAAAAATACTAATTATCTAAATGTTTGAAATTAATATTTATCTTTAAACTAAATTGTCTTTGTTATTAATTAGAAATAAATAAAAGAAACTTACAGCCAATTGATCGGTTCGTTCTTTCAAATTTTTGAGGTCCATTTTTCGCTTCAACAATTGATAAGCGGGCATTGCTTTCTCGAGAACTGGCGACTCTTTTGTTATCAATTTACTGCGAGTCAAGTCCGGAACTTTAGGGAATAATGCAACTTCATTCACTTCCTGTAAATAGAAAATTTTTACAAATTCTCAGAAAACTGAATTATTTTTTGCAAGTAAAAAATGTAAAAATATAAATTATTTTTCACCTTGACGAGTTCCGATCGTTTCTTCCTTAATTCAATTAATTTTGGATCCACAGTTTTCTTATCGATAACATGTAATGGACTCAATGATTCTAATTTCTTAAACATATCGGCAGCGAGTAATTTACATTTTTCTTGTTGTTCGTTATTCAAAGCTCCTTTTAGGGCATTAATTTGATTCAATAGAAGTCGATTATCATGTGATACTTCACCGGGCAAACTGACATCCAACGAACCACTTGTTGTCCCTTCTGTTCCCGATAAAGTTGTCGACGTCTTCTTTCCATAGGATTTTAATTTTTCCTTCAATTGTCCCTTCTCAGTTTCTAAACTGTCAATATCCGTTTGTAGATGATCCATTGTTTCTTCGAATTCTTTTTCCTGTGAAGAAAATTAAAAAAAATTATTTTATTTTTATTATCAATAATTATTATTAATTTATTATAATAAATGATAAATATTATTAAAATTTCAGTATATATTGAAACTATTTTTATTTTCGAGAACTTGCCTTTCGCTTGAGTTGATTTTGCGCTTCCTCTAGTTTCCTCTTCAATTTCTCGATGTTTAATTCATTTTCATGTTGCTGAGTGGCAAGTCGCTTCTCTGCTAATTCTTTCCTAAGGCTCATCTCCGATATTTCTTCTTGCTTCTCGCGTAAAGCAATTCTCGCCTCCCTTATATCACTATCTCTCGACTCCAGTTTTCTAGATATCAATTTTATCGAGATTATAAGCAAACACGAAGACGATAGAAAATACAATTAAATACAGCTGGATATTACGTGAAAATTAATAGAAAGCAAGAAAGAATATATAGAAAAGAAATAAAGATAAATTCGCAGACAATAAATAAGATAAAAAATTGATTTAAAAGAAAAAATAAGAGAAGAAAATAAATATAAAAATAGTAAAGTAACAAATACTTTAATTAGAGAGATCTCTAATTCAAGTTAATTAATGTCAAATAAATATTTAATAAAATATTTTTACCTGCTGAGTATTTTAGTTTCTTCGGCTTCTTTTTTGACTGTTTGTGCACGAACTAAAATTGGATTTGTCGGCTCGCCACTAGTCGGCTGTTGTTGTTTCAATGCATTACCAGAAATGGCCAATTCATTTTCGCATTCGGCCATTTTTTGCGCTAAATTAGCAGCAACTTGTTGAATAACTGTCAAGCTTGCTTTTATGGACGCTACAGGGCCTAAATCTTCCGTGTCATATATTTTTTCCGTTGACGCTGCGGCCATTTCCTTTAATTTCGAAGCAGTCAAACCCGAATCCAAATCTAAAAAAATTTAAATTATTAACTATCTTCCTCTATTTTTAAAAGATAATTAAATTAATTTTTTTCTATTTTTACCTCCATTTGTAGTAATTGCTTGAATAGCATTCTTTAGTAAATCCTGTAACGATTTCATAATTTTCGTTCCGTGTTGGTAGCAAGTTGTCAATTGCTCCATCCAATCTTTATCTAATCCCAAACTTGCTTCCGCTGGAGAAGAAGCTATCAAATGCTCTCGAGGTACTCTTCGTCTCGCGGATTTCAAATGTTGCTGAATTACTTCACAAGTTGTCTCCACATGTTGACACAATAATGCTGAAACAAAAATAATTTTAATTCCTAACTACTTCTCAATAATTCAAATAAGTAAAGTTAATTTTTTTGTCAATTTCAAATGTATTAAACAAATGTGTACCAATGTCACCGCCTTCGCCATCAATAAGTGTCTTGATAGCTGAGGCGTCTGTTGTTATTGCCTCGCAACAACTGCCTAATGTTCTTGTGCCGTTGATAACTAATTGTGCTTGATTAGCGAAGCCTTTCTCCTCAAATAAAATGGAGAACATTGTTGAAAAATATCCGCAACATTTCTCCACGGCATCCATTGGAAGATTTTCATCGAGTTGATCGCGTTTAACCAATTCAATTAGATAATCAAGACATTTTTCTTGCGCTGCCATTTCTGGATATGCAGCACCTGCCTTCAATAACATTTCCGATGAGCAATTATCCAATGCCGACTCAAAACAGCCAAGTGACGTTTGCAATGCATACATGTGACTGCAAAGACGTGATCTAAAGGCAAATTGAGCGACCGAGTGACCCTTCATTACGCCTGGCCTGAAATTTTTAGAAGAATAGCAAGTAATCGATAATTGAATTCAAAAGAAAACTAAAATAAAAATAAAGTAAGAAAATAAAATAAAGAAATAATTCGAGAAATCAAATTAAAAGTGAAAATAATCGAAAAATTGAATTAAAAATAAATTTAACTAAAATTTGAATGAAAAATGAAAACAGGCGAAAATTATATTAAAAATAAATTTACCAACTGAATCAAAAATAAATTTAAAAAACAGTTGAACTAAAAACGAAAATAATGGAAAAATTGAGTTGAAAATAAATTTAAATATTTTGAATAACTAAGTTATTAAAAAACTCAAGTTTATATTCAAGAAAAAAAGTAGAATCGAACCTGTCGAATTTTTCTATCTGTCGATATTTATCTCGCACTTGTGAGATTAAAATTTCTGTTTTCTTCGTCATTCTCGGAATGAGAAGAAGCATCAGTATTGCGTCGTTGTCACCGCCTCGAATCATAAATGCCGGTGGCATGAATGATAATAAATATTTAACGTGACATCGTGCCTCCTCAGTTTCCAAGCGACGAAGTTCCAAATCGACAGCTTTCGTTTGTGCTCGAGTTTCAGCGAATGTCTTTTGGAAATCGAGAATATCAGCCAATTGTTGTTCTGTACCTGAAAATTTTATTTATTCATTTAAAAATAGTACTTTATTTTATAAAAATTATTGTAAATAATAATAAAACAAAATAATTACAAAAATAATATTTCAATTTTCAATTTTGTTCAATTTTAATTCCATTTCATTTTAACTCAATTCATAAAATTATAAATTAATTACTTGTTATAAATTAGTTGTTAAATTAAAAAAACATTTAGTAAAAAATATATATGATTATTTCTTATAAAATCAAAAGGTTCTCATTATTTATTCACTTAACACAAATATCGCTATCAGGAATTAATTATAAATCTATATAAATAAAATCAGACTTTTGTCTGTACATTGCTTAGAATTTGTAAATTCATGTTTAGTTTTTCTTTGCGAGTAGTAAGAATTCCAAAAATGCCTATAAAAAAAAATTATGTATGTATGACTGTCCGCAATATTTTGTCCGGGAATAGCACAAAGACTACTTGACCGATTAAAACGAAACTTTACAGTCTCTTAGGTGTTAAAACCCGTCGAAGACGGGTACGACAGCTAGTAAATAAGAAAATATAAAGTACTTATAAAATACTCTCATTAAAATTGAATATAAAATTAGAAAATTGAAATTCATAAATTATTTTCTAAAAAATAGTCTTCGTCTGCATTGAAATGAAAATAAAATCTATTTAAAGAAAATAATATTTCTACACGACAATGCAAATCATTGTTTGTTAATTGATAATTTAGGAAAGAATAAAAACCTCTGTTTCCTGATTTAGTTGATTCTGTGCTTTGCATTCGTTGCTGCAGCTGGAGGCATTGATCTTGTAATTGATGAGTCAACTCTCGGAATTTTGCAATAGTTAATTCACGATCTGCGAGTGTTTCTAAAGCCGCGTCTTTGTGTCTTTGAGCGTCTCGCGCCGATCCCAACGCAAGATCCAATTCCTCACGAAGCTCAAGTTCCAATTCTTTCGACGATTCCGCGAGTTGATCTGACATGTCCTTTAAAACAAAAATTAAATATTTAATCTTAACATTAAGTCTAAATTAATTATTATCACTTCATTTCAACATAAATTTTCAAATAAAATAAAATTCTAAAAATTATTTATCTTTAATAATTTATTTTCTATATTCTAATTCAATTTCCTTCAATAAATTTATGTATAATTAATTATAATAAAAATGTAATAAGCATTTCTGTATTTTTTCTTTTTTTGAATTTATAATTCCGAAAAAGATGTACCTGCAGAGCTTCCAAGTCGGAAACAGCTTCCTCCAGTTCGGCAACTTTTTCCTCCAAGGCCATTTTCTTTTCGCCAAGTAATTCGACCATTTCTTCAGCTCCCAAAGCAGCATCGACCTTAATTAAATCGTATATACAAAAATTATAGTTTTTTTTAATTTTCCAAAAAAAGAGAGACAACTTTTACCTGTTCTTGCAGGTCGGCGATTTGGTGCTCCATTTCTTCGACTCTTGCGGATAATTTCTCCTTAGTGCGACTTAATTCCATAATTTCCGATTTCTTCTGTTCCAGATCTTTCTGAAGTTTTTGAAATTCATGTTTCTCGTGCGCGGAGAAATCTCTCATTCTCACAAGAGTCTCACGTAATCTGGCATTTTGCTGTTCCAGTTGTCTAACTTCGAAACTCGAAGTACCGGAAGCCGTGCCACCTCCCACCTTAAAAAAACTTTTTTTTTAATTTTTGATTGATAGAAAATAAAGTGAAAAAAGGTTTTTTTAAAAAAATAATTACAATAAAATGATATAAGATAATAAAATTAAAAATAACAAATAAAATTCTTAAATTAAATAGAAATTTACTCCACTTTAATTTTATATTAAATTTTGTTTAGTTTTCCAGTTTTTCTAAATTTAAATTGAAAATTATTTGAGACTAAAATACTTTTTCGTAGTAAAAAAAAGTAAATTGTTTTTATTGTCTCTTACTCTGTCCGACATTTCCGTGCGCAATATTTCTAGATCAAGTGTTTTTTCCTCCAATTTTTCCTTAAGTTGTTCCAATTCAATTTGTAATGTTTCCGCTTTTTCCTCCGCCATTTCTTTATCGAGGGTTGCCATTTCAACGGTTTCGGCAAAATCTGACATTTCTTCTTGAAATTGTTCTTTTGCTGCGTGCGCTTCACGAGCCTCTTGTTTCGCTCGTTGAAGATCTCTTTGCAAAAGTGCCTGCGAAAAATAAATTAAAAAATGAGAAAAAATAATTTCATTTTCAATTATTTTAAATCTAATTGATATAAATAAGTAGTTAGTAGAAAAATAAATTAACTGAAACTTGACTCACTTGACTTTCCATAACTTTACTCTTAAATTCTATAAGTTGATCCAATTGTATTCTTGTTTTCTCAAAATCTTTCATTCTCTCCTTGTCTTGAATTCGTTTGACTCTCAGCAATTCTACTTTTTCCGTGAGATCTCGAACCTGAAATTTTTAATTATTATTTTAATATATCTAATAATACAATATTATTTATTATTTGCTTTTTGTAACAACCGTTTTTACAATTAATTATTATTATTATTACCTACAATAAATTAAATTTTTTTTTGAATAAAATTTAACTTTTTCAATTTAAAAAAAATTTTGTAACTACCTATTTACATATGATGAGAAAAGTTTCTTAACCTTTTTAACAATTATAATGAATTTAATAAAACGTTGAATTTAACGATTATTCCAAATTAATTCATTATAATGAATTTAATATTTTTTTAATAGAACAATTTAGCAATTATTGCATAATTAAATTTTCAATTATAATAATGTTTTATTTAGTTTTCGGAAAATTTCTTTCTAAAAAATATTCTCAAACCTGTGATTTTAAATTTTCATTTTCTTGTGCCATTTGCATGTGCGTGAGTTTTTCTTCGATGTTACTTGAAATTGTTGTCGAACCTGAGATAGATTGACCAGGAACAAATTGTGGTTTTAACGTCTCCACAAAGCCCGTCTAAATTTAAAACAATTAAATGAGTTATAAAAACAAGAATTGAAATTTTCAACTTCATGTCACGTCAAAATTAACTAGTGGTTAAATTGTGTTTTTTGTTAAAAAGATTAATTATATCTACTGCTACCTAGTACCGTAAATCTGTTATTACTAGTAAAATGAATTCACGATTCTCTTTTTTAATTTAAAAAAAAAATGTAAAGAAAAATATAAAAATTAGACAAAACAAATAATTCAGAACTAAAAAGTAATTTAAAAATTAATTATTTAAATTTTGAATAATTTTGTTAATTCTTTTTTCTATCATTTTTCACATTGTTTTACTCATTATGCCAATTTGTTTGCATTTCTTTTTTCTATATAAAAAAATTCGATTTCTCTGAAAATTGCTATTTTCCTGATAATTAAACAATTTTTTTTTACATTTTGTTTTGTGTTTTCATTTGAGTCCTGATAAATCAAACAAAGTATAATTAAAAAACATTCTAGGAATATTAAAAGAAAAATACAATCGAATTTGCATGACGGCAGTGTTTCCATGTTGTAATGTACACCTAGTAGCTGAAGAGTAGTCTTTTTTTCTTATATTTTTTATAAAAAAAAATTAGTCATGACAGCAGACACCAAAAAGCTAATAATAATGAGAAAAGAAAGGATTATAGACGCGAGATAAACCCAATCTGTTAAATTATTATTAAGTGAATATTAATAATTAATATACAGTGACACCAGACATGAGAATGAAAGTGAAGTTTTTAATCAAAGAGGAATTCAGTTTCGATGATAAATTTAAGACTGTATACCCCTTGATTTTTTTTCTCTACGCATCACATAATGTAGAAATTAATGAAAAAAGCTGAGTGATTGTAATGAAGATGAGAAATAAGCTGAATATTTACCAATTTTTTTTCTTTGTTTTCTAAAATTACTATTTGAAAGTAGATTATATGAGTTATGAAGATTAAAAAGAACCATGAGGGACAAAGAGCTAGTCAAGGTCATTAAAGATGATTATTAATTAAAGAAAAAACTGTAAACAGTAGGTACTTAATTAATGAGTATTAATTACATTGTCATCTTGGCCCTTTGGCTTTTTGCCGGAAGGCGAGCTCGTGCTAGGGGACTTCTGAAACACGTACGTGCATTCCCATATGAATCCCATACACTTAAGGTTTTTTTTTCTTTTTTTTAAATTCAAATCTCCACTTCAAACCAGTTAAAAACGTGCGAATTTCTCTTCGATGGAATATCCAGTGAAAAACATATTTTTTTTCCTAATTTTATTCAAATTCGAAAGATTCACGGTGGCCATCAAATTAAAATTGTAAATATTAAAAAATATTCCATTTTACATAAAATATTTGAAAATTTATAATTTTATCTATTTTAATTAAATATTAGTTTACATTTTTCTCCTCCTCAAAACATTGAATATAATATTTAATTTATAAATATTAAAATATTTATATAAATATTTATAAATAACACAACATAAATATAATTATTTATATTGAATTATTATTTACATTATTAAATTAAATATTTTTGGAAAATAAAGAACATTTTTAGAATCAAAACATTTAGATTTGTGGACTGAAGAAACTCTCTGTGTGGATTGAAATCAATTAAAATCACGAAATTTCATAGTTGAAGGTAAGTAAAAAATATACCTCAACGAACGACGCCCTTTTGGTGATGGTGGTTGGTGCTGGAATAAGGGATTCGCCAACATCTTTTCGTTCGTGTGTGGAAATACTCAAATTCTCAGTACTAGGCGCACTCAATTGAGTTCTACTTCCTGCCAACGATAATCGTGAACTGCAAAACAAAGAAAACATACAAAAAAAATTAATATAAATTTCCAAATATCGAAATAAAATTCACAAAAGTTCAATACCAATAATTTCTAGCGTCTTCCTTTCAAAAAGCTTCATACAATTTTTTCCTCAAATACATAATACAATAAAAAATGCATAGGTTTCTTTTTTTTAAATCGTTTTAAACATTTCACTTCCGAATATTTCAAAGTACAGAGCTGAAAAATTTTTTTAGAGAACCATGCACAAAGTTTGTGCGTAAGCGTGTTTATTTTCTTTTTTCTTTTACTTTTCTTCAAAAACAAAACTGCCGACATAAAGCTTTACTACACAACATTTTTTTTCTGCTTTCGTGATCAACAATTGGAAAATTACAGAATAATTTTCAACACACTTTCCACAAGTGTAAAATAATTATTTCATGCACAAAGAAAAACAAAAGTAGTGTGATTCATTTGAAAATGTCTCATTGACATTTTATTTTACATTAAAGCAATTTTTTTACCAGAATATCGACTCTGAGAATTAAATAAAAAAATAAAATAGGGTGAGAAAAATAATTTGTATTTAAATATTTTTCTGGTAAATTTTTAACTGTTTTTACAAAAATTCAAGTAGTTGAATATTTCCTTCTTTTCGTAAAGTCGATAATCTTTGTTTAAACATCAAAAAGTCTTTTTAGATGTTGTGATATACAGACACAAAAGCTCGCGTTTGTTTGAAAATACAGAAAGCACAGGAGGCTTTTTTTTAAACGTCTACCTTTAAAATTTGGTCTCATTCTTACCCAGAAAGTTTGTCAGTTTGCTGACGAATAACTTGCGCTGGCGATGTTTTTCTTCTAACACTATTAAAAGCAGCGTATGAATATTAATATTTCATTAATTGAACCTCCATTTTTTTGTGCATTTTCGAATATTGAAAAAAAATTAACACTAATTGAAAAAAAACAGAAAAAATTAACACTAAGAAGGAAAAACTTACGTCGTCGGTTCGTTCCTTCTTCGAATGCTGATGCTAGCGTGAAAATAATTAATAACTGTATCTAGTACTTAAAAAAAATTCACTTATTTACATTTCATTACTGCTCCAAAATTCTTTCCTTGAATTTAAAGATTCACTAAGAAATTTTTAAAAATACATTTCTCTATATTTACTTGTGAATTTTTATTACCTGTTGAGACGACTTCTTGCTCTAGCTGCTCCACTATCATCGGGAGTAGTCGGATTACTTCCTGCAGAAGAAGGACTAACTGGATCAGCTCTATTTCCCGATTCGTCCAATAAAATAATTTGCGCCTGTCGCACGAACATTCCATGGTTTTCGGCACACTAAATTGTTTATTTATAAACAGTTAATGGTTATTTTTAAAAACAATTATTTGATAATTGTTAATAGTATTTTTTTTATTTGAAAAAACGATCTTCCATAAAAAGATAAATTATTAGTGGAACGAAATGGAAAAAGTTTTAGTTGCCACAAAAATTTAATTCTGTTATTCCCTGATTTTTCCCTGATTTCCAGACAAAATTTTGACTTTAGCCCTGACCCTAAAGAATATTCTGATTCACTCAAAAATTATTAGATACTCAAAAAAATGTTCTATTATAATTTGCGAATTTCTTTAAATATAAAAATTATTCGAGAACATCAATAACTTCTTTTTTAAATAAATATTTAATGATAATTATTATTTTTCCATAAGAATTAAGATTTTCAAAAATTTCAAATTCAATGATCCTAAAGTTCTGAACGTTCAAATGAACGAAATTTATTTATTTTCTTCTTTAATTTAAATATTTATTACAATAATTTTTTGTCGATATAAAATAAATGAAATATAAAGTTTCTAAGTGTGAAATTTAAGTTTTTAATTTTTATTGCAAACAATAAATTATAAAAACATTTCTAATAAAAAGTGTTTCGTTCATTTGAACGTTCAAAACTTGTGGATCATCAAATTCAAACTTTTTTGAAAGTCAACAACTTATAAGAATATAATAAATTATAAAACATGAAGATATCGATCACTTTGAGTCTTCGACTTGGAATGATTCATGTTTTATAATTATGTTCATCTTCATGTTTTATAATAAATTAAAGATTACCGAGTGATAATTTCATTATTTTATAATAATTATATATATAATATATATATATATATATAATCAATTATTTTTAATAATTTCTAAAAAAGTTCTTTGAGAATTTTCAACTCCATTTGTTTACAATTTAATTTTACGAAATTTCGATTATTCGGAAGTTCCTCAATTAAATATACCTATATTAGAAAATACAACATTTAAATAATTAAATAAAAATCAATTAAACTTTTTAAAAAAATTAATTCTGCAGAACTATTTGTTAAAGGTATGAAAAATTCAGATTTTCAAAGATTTTAATTTAAAACCTTTTCAAAATTTAATTTATTTATTTTAAATTTCAACTGAAATTCATTTTTAAATAAATTTTTATGATGAAATTTAACGATAATTGTCGAATTGTTCGTTAATAATAATAATAATAATAATAATAATAATAATAATAACGCAGCCTAATGTTTACAACATCTTTATAACTGTTAATTATTTTTAGTACTTTATGTACGAATGGGACTCAATGCCCGTAAATGAATAAATAAATAAATAAATAATTCATTTATTTAAATACGAAAATAAATAATTTATTAAATAATTGAATGTTTCTTAAAATTGAATTCCCATAAAGAATTTTATCAACAGATTATTTATAAAAATAATGGAATTATTGCAAAGAATATTATTAAAATTTTTGTTATTTATGCAAATAATTTATTTATTATGAAGAATTTTATTAAAATTTTTGCGAAGAATTTTATTTTTTATGGAAATAGTAATTGAATTCTCGGAAAAAACTTTATTATTTATGTAAATAATTTAATTTTTATAAAGAATTTTATTAATTTTCTTTTAAATAATAGACTTTTTGTGAAAAATTTTGTTATTAAATATAAAAATAAATATTTTATTGAATAATTGAATGTTTCTTAAAATTGAATTCTTTTGATGAATTTTAATAAAATTTTTTAGAATAATATCATTTTTCGAGGAATTCTTTTAAAATTGTGCTAAAAATAATTGATATTCTGGGATGAGTTTTATTATTTATGGAAATAATTGAATTTATGCGAAGAATTTGATTACTTTTGAAAATAATTGAATTTCTGCAATAATTTGTAACTTCTCCAAAATTCAATTCTTTTGTTAGTGTTTTTAACTAAAATTCTCCTATAAATTAATTAATTTATAATAATTAATTAAATATATATTAAAAAATTTAACTGATTTCGGAAGAATTTGAATTATTAAAATATTACATTTTATTATAAATTCTTTAAAATTTCTAATAAATTTCATCCAAAATTGAAATTTTATAAAATTTCAAATTGCAACCTTTTGAAGTTAATCTATTTATGAAAATTGTAAATGCAATTCTCTTTCCAAATTAAATTAACTTTGAAATATTTAAGTAAAATTTTTTATTAAATAATTTCTAAGTAATAATTTTATTATAGTTGTTCAAGAATTAAGTTATTTAAAAATAAATTATTGTCAAAAATAGAAAAAATTGAAGGTTTTGTATTAGAAATAGTGATAATATCATAGTTTATGAAGTAAACAAAAAAGACACCAAAATTCAAAATTTTCTTATGAATTCTAAAAATTGAATTTTTTCCAGTAGTGTTAATAAAAATCCCTGATTTTTCCCTGACCAATTCTACTTTGCCTGACTTTTCCCTGAATTCCCTGACCTGTGGCAACTGTGACCAAACTAAAAAAATTTTGCAATAACATGAATGAAAAAGAACCTTAAAGAAACTAAAATTTGAGACAAAATATACGAAAAATTAACATTTGCACTCAATTAATATCACAATTCAAAAATATTGCAAAAAAAAATTCGTTTCGAAACATAACCTTAATTTCGTAGAATGTAAACATATATATATATAATTTTAGGAACACTATTTTTAGTAGTAAATAAACATGAAAAATAGTGAAATATAGTTCAAAATTGTACAGAAAAATGAAATTTACCTTAAAATAAACTTGTCCTTTAATTGTTCCATTGTTTTTACCTTTTGCTTCATCGAGTATTACTCCAATCCATTTTCCCGAAGCAAACGAAGGATGACCTATATAAGCAATTACTCCCTGGCAATCTTTGCCAGCAATTTCAACTCTCTGACCAACTTTATATGACATTTTTAAAATATATCTTTCTATTGTTCCTTTTCATTAACTAAATATGTACGAAAATTTACAAAAATTTTTAATAATCAAAATTTGACGTCTTGCGTGAATAATTTTGACAGCTTGTTAGTAACAATTTCCTCCACTAGGCGGCACTCTTTTGGGGTCTTTAAAATCCAAGATGGCGGCACACTGAACAAAAGAATAAGGTAGTTCAAGTTGGGTGGGGGAAATCCAATATGGCTGACATCAGCTGATTTACCGGAGGACAAACAATGCATTGAATTCAATGGGACAAATCAGTTTTTTAACCATAACTTTTTAAATATTTATTTTTGAACCATAGTCTAATGGAAAATTATTCTTTATTTATCGAAATCTATTTTTTAAAACAATAAAATTTAATTTTTTGGTTTTATTGTTTTAAAAAATAGATTTCGATAAATAAAGAATAATTTTCCATTAGACTATGGTTCAAAAATAAATATTTAAAAAGTTATGGTTAAAAAACTGATTTCTCCCATTGAATTCAATGCATTGCTTGTCCTCCGGTAAATCAGCTGATGTCAGCCATATTGGATTTCCCCCACCCAACTTGAACTACCTTATGAAAAAAAAGTTCGTTAAAAAAATCTATTTTTACTCCAGTGTATACTTCGAAACAAAAATAAAATATTTGAAGTAATTGAAGATTTTTGCACCTACTAGATTTTTGTTATAAACAGGAGGAAGAAATTAAATTGTGAAGTAAGTGAGTACCTTTTAAAATAGAGATTTTTTTTTGCGGTATTTGACAATTGGTGACAAGGTTCACAAAGTCGTTTGACAAGAAAGCAAAGTAAATTTGAAGAAGAATTGATAAATTGTTCTATTATAAAATATGTAAACAAACTGTAATTTAAATTTTATGAAATTTTTGCGGTGAAATGCGCGCGCATCATTAATGGCTGCGGGCTCGTACAATGACCGTGTGTGCGTCTGTGTTTAGCTGATAATCATTTCTGCAAATTTTTTTTAATTCAAGAAAAATAATTCATCGTAGCAAAATTAATAAAGAAAACAGTGAAAGTTCAATAAAAAAGTGTGTATTCTCTTAGAGAAGATTTTTGTTTATCTGGTTCTATCTTCAAGTGTAAAAACGAAGCTCAAAATGCCACTGGTAAGTGCTTCCTGATCATCTTGAACTTGTCATTCTCTTTCATAGAGTATAGTAAAAAGTTGTCCTTCAGTAATAACTTCCCGTTTGAAAACTAGGTTGCAAATTTTCTCTACTATTTATAATATTGTACTTTTATTTACTCATCAATTTTTAAAATATCACTGACATTTCTTTCTATTCAAAAATTGTGGGCGCGGTTTTGTGGTTAGTTTACCCTGACATACGAAGGGTTTCAATTTTTTTTTTATTAAAAAGAAACATTGTTTGTCAGAAATTTGCTTATGATTTATAAATTTAATACTACCGGATAATAGTAGATTTTTATTTACTAAGTGAAATTTATTTTTATTTACAGATTGATGACGTGTTTTCATGAGGGATTTATATTATTTTCGAATAGTTTTCTATTATCTGATAAATGTGATAATTGATTAGATTAACAGTTTAAACTGTTATATTGCTTTTTAAACACTACTGTTTTTAAACGGTTGTGTTTACGCTCTAAATTACTGTAAATTAGTTTCTTTAGGCAGTGGATTTGAAAATTGTGTCTCAAATATTAACTAAATTAGAACAAAATTTATTTATATTTTTGTGAACTATTTTTTAATATTGCAAATTATAGATACAATGTTTTATTAGATGGTGTAACTAAATTACAGTAGAGACTCCATTATCCGTACTAATGGATGCAGGCACTTGTCCGGATAATCGAGTAAAGTACGAATGATTCATAATTTTAAGTATTTATTTGCATATGTATTAAAATAAGACTGAAACAAACTAAAACTTTTAAAGTCAACATTAATAAATATTTAGTTAGAAATATTTAAAAATATTTACATAAACATTTTCTTAAAATAATTAAAACACTTTCAAATGCAACATTTCGTGTTTGTTGGCGGGGAGAAATTTTAAATAGAAGTTAACGGCTTGAGACCTTATATAAACTTTATATTAAAAAAAAATTTTTTTAATTTTTAATTTGTCCGGATAATGGAGTCTCTACTGTAATTCATTTAAATTTTTGTTTTCAATGAAAGAGTCTTTTTGAGTCATATTAATATTGATAGATATAAATTTATATTTTAAAAATAGGAAGATTTTGTTTTTAAAAATTAATAAAATACTGAAGTTTATTTATGTTTGTGAAAATCACAACGTTTATAATGAACGATTTAGAAGAAAGAATATTTTTGTATTTAAATTTTTGTACATTTTTACACAAAAACTGTTTTGCACAATTTTTTTTATTAATAATTTGAAAAAAAAATGTTTTTTTCTTTCAATCTTTGATCTCATAAACGTTGTGAACTTCACCGACGTCTTTATCAGGGCTCGGATTGTGCGACTTTTTCGACTTTTCTAAGAAAATGTGACTTTTTTAGACATTTTTGTGAAAAAATGCGACTAATCGACTTTTTGGAGATTTTTCAGTAAAATGCGACTGAAATTTAAAAAAAAAATTTTAAATTTAAAGGAAAAAGTTTGAGTCAAAAAATGTTCTGTTACATTTATTTACAAATTTCTTTAAAATTTTTCGAAAATATCAATAACTTCTTTTTTCAATAAATTAAATATTTTATTATTATTTTTCCATAGGAATTAAAATTTTTCAAAAGATTCAAATTCAAACCTTTTTTAAATTAAACAACTTATAAAAAATTATTATAAAACATGAAGAAATCGATCACTCCCAGTCTTCGACTCGGAGCAATCGATGTCTTCATGTTTTATAATAATTAAAGATGACCAAGTGATAAAATCATTATAGGTAAAATACCTATAATGATTTTATCACTTGGTCATCTTATTATATTATCATATAATATAATATAATATAATATAATATAATATATATATATATAATATATATATATCATATCATATAATCATATTATATTATATTATCATATTATAAGACTTTATAAAAAAAAAATTTTTAATTATTTTTTATGAAAATCATTAAATTATTGTGAACAAATTTATAAAATATTAGTAAGTAATTGAAATTTGCAGAAGAATATTGATATTTACAAAGATAATTGAAATTTTGAGGAAAATTTTATAAAAAATTTGTTGAAAATAATTGAATTTCTGCGAAGAATTTTCTTACTTTTAAAGATATTTGAATTTTGCAAAGAATTTGATCAGAACTTTTAAAAATATGTAATTAAATTTCCAGGATGAATTTTATTATTTATGAAGATAATTCAAATTTTGACGAGAAATTTAAAAAAAAAATTAAAAATAATACCAAGTGGAAGTCCACAACGTTGATCAACGGGAAAGCTTTTCTAATTTATTTGAATATTATAGTTTTGTTAAATACACAACAATTATTACTAAAATATAAAACCGCTGCCAAGTTGTATATTTTTTTTTATAATTTTGGTGCTCATTTCATGAACACTTTACTTCCTCATGGAGATAAAAATAATAGAAATATATGAATAACTTTTTATAAATATGGTAAAAGTGATTGAATTTTGAGTCAATCAATGTATTTTTAAATACCCTACAAGATAGTTACAATAATTTAATAGTTAAATAAAAATTTTCAAACAAAAAAGTTGAGAAAATGTCATTTTTCACAATTTTTGGTTTTTAAAATACCAATAATTTAGAAATTTATTATCGAATTAGGTTCAAAAATAGGTCAATCGAAACGTTTTTTAATGCTCTACAAGTTGATAACGATAATTTTAAAGTTACTTCTACGTTTTTCAACAAAATTTTCAAAAAAGTCTTATTTTCCAAAATTTTTGATTTTTAAAAGGGTCAAACCATTTTATTTCGCCTAATGTATTTTTGACCTTTATAAAAAATTTCAATATTTCGGGAAAATATTCTTATATGTTTTGGGTTTTGCACTAGTTTTTAAAAGAAATTGATTAAAAAAAATTGTTTATTTTGAAGGTTACAGACAAGTATTATAACTAACTTGAAGTTGGTTTGCTACTTGCAATAAAAGTCAAATTCAAAATAAAACGTTTTTTTAAAGTCAGTTTAACCCTTTAACGCCCAAATGTGCTGTTTTCCGACTTGAATTTTAACTTCGTACAACTATTAAAAGAAAGCTAAAAAAATTTCAAAAGTACCATTTCCTACTATTTTCGGGGTCGCTCTTTCGAATGGCGTTGTCAAAATTTCCAAAAAATGAAATTAACCACCTCTTTTAATGAAATTTTTCAAAAAATGCAAGATTTTTGGATGAAAATTTTTTTTATTGCAATTTTCATTGATATATCGGCATCTACATATCGTCTAAGGTATAAAAACCGTATTCCCGATAGCTGTACTTTAAAAATATGCAGTAGTTTTTTTTTCATTTTTCATTAAAAAATGGCGTCCGAACGCTAAATTTTTTTTCTATTACACATACTAATTTTTTTTTAATTTTCTTAAATTCGCCTGAAATTTGTTACTCGGGGGTTTATGGGGTCGCTGATTACGAATCTGATGTTAGTTTTAAAAAATTCAAAATGGCGGATTCAATATGGCGGACGATTTTTTTTTAAATTTACCAAATTCACCTGAAACTTGTTACTCGGGGGTTTTCAGGGTCGCTGATTACGAATATGATGTTAGTTTAAAAAAATCCAAAATGGCGACCGAAAAAATAAAAATCATTCGGATTGGCTTAAAAATTGGTACTCGGGGTTTTTGGGGTCGCTGATTACGAATATGATAGTTTTTAAAAATTTAAAATTTCGGATCTAATATGCAACAGATATTCAAGTAATAAAAAACATGTGTCCTTAGTAAACTGAAGGTGACCAGGACTTAGAATAAGTTTTGGTAGATGTTACATCCCGAGATAAAACTTTTTAATTTAACCCTTAATGTGTAAAATCAAATCAGTACTTTACCTCCTTTTTATTATTCGCCTAATAAAATTACCCTTGCCTTAGCTCGGGACGTGACAGAAGACAACCTCAAACAAAGTTTAATGATGAATAAAGGTCCCCACTTTAAAGTTCAATAAGTAATTAAACTAAGTTTTATGAAAGTAACGTTTCAAGTTTAACATTATTATTAATTGAGTATAAGTAAATTCCAAATTGACCCAAATAACAATTTTCAAGCCAATCCGGATAATTTTTATTTTTTTTTGTCCGACATATTAGATCCGAAATTTTGGATTTTTAAAAACTAACATCATATTATTAATTAGCGACCCCAAAAACCCCCGAGTACCAATTTTTAAGCCAATCCGAATGATTTTTAATTTTTTGGTCGCCATTTTGGATCCGCCATTTTGGATTTTTAAAAACTAACATCATATTCGTAATCAGCGACCCCAAAAACCCCCGAGTACCAATTTTTAAGCCAATCTGAATGATTTTTATTTTTTTGGTCGCCATTTTGGATTTTTTCAAAACTAACATCATATTCGTAATTGCAAGTAGCAAACCAACTTCAAGTTATATATAATACTTGTCTGTAACCTTCAAAATAAACAATTTTTTTTAATCAATTTCTTTTGAAAACTAGTGCAAAACCCATCGCGAAATTTTAGCAGCAGGAAGATATATTGCTTCAATCTACATGCTCCAAAAATTTAGCATGAATCGGTTTTTCTCCAACGAAGTTACAAACATTCAAAATCCCGATAAAATGAAGAATGTTTAATTTTTAAGGTAAATTTTTTTATATTTCTCAGTTGATAATCAAAAAAGTATTTAAATAATAATAAAGTGTATTTAAAATACTTATTATTTAAATAATTCTGATTTACTAAAATCAAAAACAGAAAGAAACCAAAAAATAAAGAAAATCAAAAACAAAAAAAACCAAAAAATAAACAAAGAAAACTTGAAACCTAGAGCATATAAATAAACGAGCATATCCTATGCATAAAATTCTGCCCTAATATCCCTTCATATTAAATTATTATGCGAGAAGTAGCACCGCCAATAAACCTACCCAAAGCCTCGACCATTTCTCTTGTAGGGTTCAGCACAATTTCATACGGATTAAATTGCTCAGGGTTAACA